CGTTGCCTTCACTTTCTGATTATACCAACTGCTTTCTTCCTCTCGTTATTAGGGAGCTTAAGCGACAACGACAGCTGACGACGACGACGGTAGTAACTTCGCTAAAAAGTGAATAAGCGTCCAAACTTTATCGCGTTTATTGGTCTCTTTTTATTTGTCAAATGTAGGCGATTTCTCCTGGAGTTGAACTCGTTAGGACTTAGTTTAGTTTCAAAAAGGGCCTGGTCCAATTCGTCGTTGTATTTTCACGTCCTCCATTAAACGTCGAATTAGGAGGTTTCACGTCGTAGTCGTGCAGTAGACGTCAAAGACATGTACTGAAAAGCGTGATGCACGTAAAGAGCTGTTGTTTTGCTCATAAAACCTATTGTTTGTTGACAATGTCGTCTTAGGGGCTCACGACTCGAGCCAGGGCAGTGACCTAGTTTGCCTGGTCCTGTTGTGCGTTTTACCACGGACGTTCAAACCTGTCTTGCAACAAATAAGGTTGCAAGGTTTTTTTTTTCCTGGGTGGTAAGACGCGCAAGATCGCCATTCAACTCGTTTCGGAGCAATGTTGCAAATGGAGTTGCACGTTTTTTGTTGCCCGTTTTACCGTGCCTTTAGACCTATTGAATTTTTTTCCTTACCGTCGCCGTTAAGCATGACACAATTTTATTTTTTGTTTGAGTAAACTATAAGTATATTAACGAGAGCATCGCTTTAAGCCCTTAGTACCTCACTTAAGCCAGTTACCTCACCTACCTGGGGTCCCCCAACTCCATGTAAACAGGCCCTTACTGTAGCTTAAAAAAAAACTTTGCACGTAGTAGTGGGGGAGGGACCGAATTAACCTTTTTTGTGGATTTAATTAACTTTTTGAGTGGTATAAATTAACGCAGATGACGTCATGCATCTCATTAAGATAGGATTATATCATAGGTTAAATTATATCACATGACCAGAAGGCGGAGATCCCATGAGATAGCACAGCGCTTGCGCAAATCATTGTACGATTCGCGCTCAACGCGTAAAGTTCGTTCTTCGGATAACACCAGAATTTCACAAACCCCGGACGACGTTGGGGTAAATATAACTGCCGAACAGGGTCAATCGTCGGAGAAGGCCTCCGCGAATACAGAACTTGCGAACCTGTGTGGCAATGAAGAAGGAATTGCATAAAGATTATGCAGCACTCTGCAACTCGTCCACTGTTGAAGGCTCTTCGGAGTTGTTGTTTGGCGACCTCTCCAAACTTGCTAAGGACATTTCCGAAGCCAACAAGTTAACTAAGAAGGTTCGCCTGCCGCATTCCACGAATTCCCGCGGTGACAAGTACGGGGGACGCTCAAGTTATGGTTCGAGTCAGGGAAACAGAAGATTTCACCCCTACTCAAAAAGGAAGCCCTATGATTTTTTAGGCAAAAGCCGCTTCTTCAAACAAAGAAAGAAAAAGGACGGAGAGACGAGTCAGCGGCAATGAAAATGCCAGAGGTATGTGATGAAAACATGACTCTCCCTAAAGGCCTCGAGCCTAGTATACTAAGCACACTCAAATTACAAACTAAATTTCAAGCAGGACAGCTTCGAAATTTCTTACCTCAATGGAAAACTGTAACAACCGATCCCACTATACTTCAATTTGTTTCCGGGGTCAAAATAGAATTTCAAAACAATTCTCTGCCACGCAACAACATAAGAGACCCAGTGTTTTTAATACTAAACAGCATGCTATTGTTAAAGCGGAAATCGATAAACTGCTCGCTAAAGGTGTTATTATACCGGCGGCACAGGAAACGGAGGAGTTTATCTCTACCATATTCCTTAGACCGAAAAAGGATGGCACGCACCGCACCATTCTCAATCTCAAAGAGTTTGACGAATTCGTAGCTTATCATCATTTTAAGATGGATACCCTAGAGGCGGCCAGCAGCATGATGAAACCAGGCTGCTTTATGGCATCAGTTGATCTCAAGGATGCTTATTACACCGTCCCCATTTACTCCTCTCACCAGAAATATCTCAAGTTTTGTTTCGACGGCGCTTTCTGTCAATACACTTGTCTACCTAACGGCCTTGCCAGTGCGCCTCGTATTTTCACAAAATTACTCAAACCTGTCTATGCTACACTTCACAGCATGCGTCACTTAAATTCGGGCTACACTGATGATTCTTATCTCCAAGGGGATACTGTTGCGGACTGTCAACAAAACGTTGGAGACACTGTCACGTTATTTACCAGACTAGGGTTTTTCATCCATCCAGAAAAGTCGGTTTTGGTTCCTACCCAGCGGTTGACATTCTTAGGGTTTGTTCTGGATTCGATTAGGACGACAGTTACGCCTACCGAAGCAAAAATCCAGAAAATCAAATCTAGTTGCGGCACTCTCCTGAAGACCCCCATGCCCACTATAAAACAAGTCGCAGAGGTTATCGGAATTTTGGTGTCCAATTTCCCCGGAGCTCAATACGGGCCACCTCATTACAGAAACGTGGAACGTGACAAATATCTCGCCCTCGTGTTTAACAAAGGAAATTATGAAGGGAAAATACAGCTATTCCCCATGGCGCTACAAGAAATCCGATGGTGGCTAAATAATGCTATTACCTTACACAGAGATATTCAACATCCCCGCCCCAGCGTGACAATTCAATCAGATGCGTCCCAATTGGGGTGGGGAGCGGTTTTTGGGGCACAGAAAACAGGGGGAAGGTGGACCCCTTTTGAAACCGAATCTCACATCAACGTATTGGAATTGCTTGCGGCTTTCTTTGCCCTAAAATGTTATTGCAGCAAAATGGGGAACTGCCACATACAGCTTCAGATCGATAATACCACGGCCATTGCGTACAGTAACAACATGGGGGGCTCTAAATCAAAAGAACTTGACCAACTGGCTTTTCAAATTTGGGAATGGTTATATAACTAGGCACATTTGGCTCTCCGCTGTTCATATTGCTGGTCGGCTGAATACCGGTGCTGTCAAACAGTTGTTTGACGACATCCTATCACACCACCCTGGGCTGGATTGTGATCTTTTTGCCAGCAGATTAAATTTTCAGATCAGCACTTATTGCTCGTGGTGCGGAGACCCACACAGTGCCCACATCGATGCTTTTACTATGAACTGGAGTGGTTACAAATATTATGCATGGACCTAGTCGGGATTAGCAAATTAGCAAGTTTATATATGGAAAAAAAAAACACTGTTGTATTACATTGTGTTTATTATTAGGGTTGCTTTTGCCAGAGGCTACTCTGCATATGGCCTTGGGTTACCTGTACCTCTCGTTGGGCCTATCGCATGGGCGCATCAACCCTTTGAAGTCTCATGGGATCTCCGCCTTCCGGTCATGTGATAGAATTGGGAAATTAAACGAGACTTACCTGTAAGTTGAATTTTGATTGAGATTCTATCACATGACAACAGAAGGCGAGAGATCACATGCCCTCCGCTATCATACCCACCCTGTTTGTTTGTACTTTCGGGTATGCCATTTGATACTATGTTGACGCGCCCATTACGTGTCTTTTAAGAGTGACTTGCGCAAGCGCTGTACTATCTCATGTGATCTCTCGCCTTCTGTTGTCATGTGATAGAATCTCAATCAAACTTCATCTTACACGTAAGTCTCGTTTAATTTCCCAATTAATGCCGATGACGTCATGCATGCCATTAAGATAGGATGATGTCATAGTTTATTTTTAGCTGGCAAGGAACAAGTGACGTCGGAATACCCTAGGGGTTGACGTCATCAAAAATGTTGAGATCATAATCTATAAATAGAAAAGTGATTTTTGATATAATCAGCTATTTGCTATAGTCTTCTGATTAGCAAATTTTGAACGTGCTATCTTTGCAGATTATACTAACTGAAAAATCTTTAATCATTAAATTATTTTCACTAAAAATCAGTTATAAACAAAACCAAGACACAGAGGTTAACTGAAAAATCTTTACTTCAAAAGAAGGAAAAAGGAGGTTAGGAGAATGCGGAATCGTACTAATTTTTTCGGGCAAAACATGAAAATGAGGTCAAAGCGCAGCGAAGCGAAAAACTGCCTCTCATGCAAAAATGTCAATCTTTGTTTACTTGACTCTGTACAAAAGGAAAAAGGAGGTTAGGCGAATGCGAATCGTACTAATTTTTTTCGGGCAAATCATGAAAACGAGGTCGAAGCGCAGCGAAGCGAAAAACAGCCTATCAAGCAAAAATGTCAATCTTTGTTTACTTGGCTGTGTAGAAAGTATTGCACAGGGTATAAAAATTCTATAGAAAACAACAGGTGGTTCTAAAGAAACCCCTAACTCTTTTGGTTCTTAAATAAACTCCATTCTTGTTCCTAATGAGTGGAACGTCTGTTAAAAAAAAATTGGAATAAGAGGTGCGATCGCCTAGCAGCACATGTCTTCTTATTTAGCGCTAAAAATCGGATATATAAACAAAACACACACACACATACACAAAGTGGAGCTGAAAACTCTCTATTTCAATATTGACTCACAAATACAAAAGCGTTTTCTCCGTTTTATCTTGAGGAAACGACTAACTATTGAAGTCTCAGCGCTGGATGAGCTTATGGTCTTGTAAATTCACGCGCTGTTAGTCAGTTAATTATGCGGGTAACAAGCCCACAGCTGCATACAAATTGGCTCCACAGTAAAAACCCAAAGGGAGAAACTTGACTTGTTATTTTAAAGACACAAACGATTAATAACTTAACAAGGATCAATTAAAACACGCGACAAATAAGTTGACAAGAGACGAGATACAGTTTTAAAAACTTTATTGAAAACCAGTGACAATAAGAGTCAAATAAACAGCGATTTGGAAGGGATGGAAATTAGACCTCTTCTTCGTTCTCCTCTTTAGAAGGTGAATAAAAATTGGTTTCCAACGTCTTGGCATTTTTGTGTGTAATCGTGACACCGGAGAAAGCCCTCTGTGATGTAATTTCTCTCCTCGGGGATCTGGTGATCGCGTATAGGACAAATCTTGTAGTTATCGTGCCAAAAGCATTAAGGACATTTCATGATCAATGCCGAGTACACATTTGAGTTTTCGCAATGTTCACAGGGACTTTTAGAGTGAAAGGTGGTGGACGTTTCAGGGCTACTACTTTCTGTTTCCTCACTATCGTTTTCAGTGTCGTTGTCGCTCTCTTGGGTGCCTTCAGCTTCAACGCCATTCTCAGAAGCCACTTCCTCCTCCTCCTCCTCATTTTCAATATCCGATGAACTCTCCTCATTATTAATCTCGTTATTGGAAGTATTTTCTACATTTCGGTAGCCTTTTTCCTTTTCTATTAAATCACTTAACAACTTTTTGTTCTTGATTAAACATTTATCGATTCCTAACTAGAAACGTATTCAGCGCACGAGGCTTGGTAACCTCATTTTCATGAGGGGGTAACACATACTCAACTAGCTCGGCGATGTTTGTGACGGGAATAGCGCGTTTATTTCGAAGTAATTGTCTGCTGGGAGTCCAGAAAAGAATATCTTTGGACGCGACCATACTATGCAGCAAATCAGAAGCACGGTTTTCCGACACTGCTCGGGAAAGATGACTCAAAACATATTTTATTTTTGGTTCTTCATCCTCGCTTTCATCACCAGAACTTTTGCTTTTTTCATGTTCACTCTCGTGTTCTTCTTCAGCCAAATCTATCTGTCTCTTCATTTTGATGAGTACCCGTGACAGACTTAGCTTCAAATGAGTAACTTATAGTTTCGTTTCTTCTTTTATAGCATCAAAAATCCTAGGCTTGTAACAGCAGGTACCAATAGGTCTTGAACAAAACCATCACCCTCTTGTACAAGGATTCTCTTCTTTGTTTTGTAAGGGACATTCGTTTCTTCTAGGTTTACTAGAGCATCCTTATAATTATGGCAACACGTTCCGCTTATTTTCTTCGGGGATAAGAATGTATTCCTTAAGTATATTGTATAAGACTTGGACTAATGCATGTAGTTGTTGTGGACTGGCTGTCCGTAAAAGAAGCTGTCCCTGATGAGCTGGACAAACAGCTAAGAATTGAAGAAAACCACGATTGTTCTTGACAACTTGAGACATTGCGACAAACTGAACTTATGATAGTAGTTTGCAGTCTTTTATTGACTGTCGTGGAGAAAAACAATGGAAATGTTGTGGCGGTGGTGGTGGTGGTGGAAGAAAACAATGAAAATGTGGTTGTGGCGGTGGTGGTGGTGGTGGAGGGAAAACAATAGAAATGTGGTGGTGGCGGTGGTGGAGGAACACAATAGGAAAGTGGTGGTAGTGGAGGAAAACTATTGAATTTTATAGCCTTCAAAACTATATCAATGCGCATTATGCTACCATTTTCTCAGTCTACATTCTGCTCCTGAGGAGTTAACATGAGTTGGTTGTGTTCCGTTTGCGAAAAATCATTTAGTAGAAAGGATAGCATGCAAAGGCACGTGATGTTTAAACACCTCTATGTTGGGGTCACGCCATTTCAAACAGTTTCGTTTTCACAGAAATGTCAGCGGTTTCGATTAGAGCATCCTTTTACCTCCATGATTGCCGGAATGACCGGGTCAGGAAAAACGGGCTGGGTTCGATCTCTATTGCAACAAGCTTCAGAGACAATTTACCCTCCCCCGGAGAGGATTGTTTGGTGTTATTCACAATGGCAGCCTGCGTATACAGAAATGCTAGTCGCCATGCCACACGTTGAATTCGTCAAGGGAATTCCTACGGCTTTGGGAAGGATTCCTATTTTGATGTGAACAAACGGAATTTGATCGTGTTTGATGATCAAATGATTGACGCATGTAAAGACAAGCGAATTGTGAACCTCTTTACTCGTGGTTCTCATCATCGCAATCTAAGCGTCATTTATATGGTGCAGAATCTATTTCACCAGGGGAAAGGTAGTCGCAGCATAAACCTAAAGAGCCATTATTTGGTGCTAGTCAAGAATCCACGAGACAAATTGCAAATCTTGACTCTTGCCAAGCAATTGTATCCCGGGCAAACTGATTTCTTTTTAAATCAGCACGAACAGGCTGTAAAAAGACCTTTTGGTTATCTGCTGATTGATCTGAAAACTACTACCCAAGATAATTGTCGACTGCGAACAAACGTCCTTCCCAGTGAAGAAGGTTTCAACCAAGCAGGGCTTCAAGAAAATATTCCTCAAGAGCTTTTAAAATATCTAAAGCAGCAAAATCTTTCGCCTGTCCCACTTCTTCAAGCTATGCAAGAAGTACAGGGCAACATGGATGACTTGCTTTCTCGAAACGATCTTCGGGACGATGAAAAAGCTAAGAGATACTTTCAGTTGCAAAACAGATACCTGGCTTTTAAAGAACAATTAAATACAAGAACGCGGCCGGAAGAAATAAACAGCACTGTTCCAGACTTAACATCAAGCACACAAGATTCTTCGATAGTAACGGCAGAATTCTCCACTCCCCTTAACCCCTTCAACGTAACACCTAAATTAACACAAGCGGCTATCTTACAAAAACCTGAAAAAGAAAGCTCCACCCCACCACTAACCTTAAATCCTGCTTTCCTGACTCCTCCCCCCAAAGTAGAAACCCCATCACAAGACCCGAAGCGCAAAAGGCGCCGGATTCAATTTATAAATTATTTGGATGATCATAAAGCTCATGGCAAACAGAGGAAACGAACTCGGAAGAAGAAATTTCGAGTTAGACTTTACAAGTACTCCATGGGCGAAGAAGATGATTAATTTCCATCTCTTTCAAATCGCTGTGTATTTGACTCTTTTTGTCACTGGTTTTCAATAAAGTTTTTAAAACTGTATCTCGTCTCTTGTCAATTTATTTGTCGCGTGCTTTAATTGATCCTTGTTAAGTTATTAATTGTTTGTATTTTTATAATAATACAATACTTTATTTCAAAATAGCAAGGGCAATAATAATAAGTCAAGTTTCTCCCTTGGGGTTTTTACTGTGGAGCCAATTTGTATGCAACTGTGGGCTTGTTAACCCGCATAATTAACTGACTAACGGCGCGTGAATTTACAAGACCATAAGCTCAACAAGCGCTGAGACTTCAAACGTTGGTCGTTTCCTCGAGATAAAACGGAGAAAACGCTTTTGTAATGGTGAGTCAAAATTGAAATAGACAGTTTTCAGCTCCACTTTGTGTATGTGTGTGTGTTTTGTTTATATATCCAATTTTTAGCACTAAATAAAGAGACATGTGTTGTTAGGCGATCGCATCTCTTATTCCAATTTTTTTGTTCATTAGCTACTAGAATGGAGTTTATTTAAGAACCTAAAGAGTTAGGCTTTACTTCAGAACCATCTGTTGTTTTCTATAGAATTTTTATACCCTATGCAATACTTTCTACACAGGCAGGTAAACAAAGGTTGACATTTTTGCTTGATAGGCAGTTTTTTTGCTTCGCTGCGCTTCGACCTCGTTTTCATGATTTGTCCGAAAAATTAGTACGATTTCGCATTCGCCTAACCTCCTTTTTCCTTTTTTACGGAGTCAAGTAAACAAAGATGGACATTTTTTCTTGATAAGCAGTTTTTCCTTCGCTGCGCTTCGACTTCATTTTCACGTTTTGGCCGAAGAATTAGTACGATTTCGCATTCGCCTAACCTTCTTTTTCCTTCTTTTGAAGTAAAGATTTTTCAGTTAACCTCTGTGTCTTGGTTTTGTTTATAACTGATTTTTAGTGAAAATAATTTAATGATTAAAGATTTTTCAGTTAGTATAATCTGCAAAGATAGCACGTTCAAAATTTGCCAATCAGAAGACTATAGCAAATAGCTGATTATATCAAAAAATCACTTTTCTATTTATAGATTATGATCTCAATATTTTTTGATGACGTCAACCCTAGGGTATTCTGATGTCACTTGCTCCTTGCCAGCTAAAAATAAACTATGACATCATCCTATCTTAATGAAATGCATGACGTCATCTGCGTTAATTTATACCACTCAAAAAGTTAATTAAATCCACACAAAAGAGGATAATTCGGTCCCTCCCCCACTACTGCACGTGCAGCACCCTTTTCTGTACATTTCTTTGCCTTTGTTTTGCACGACTACAAGGTGAAACTTCCTAGCTACACGGGACGATTCGCAACGACGATTTTTTGCAACATTGGTGCATCATTGTTTCGAATAGCGGCAACATTGTTACCCATGGTGCTCCGCTTCGCGCGCGTAAGAGTTCCGCTATCATAGTTTCTGATTGGGGGGAATACTGTTTCAGCTATTTTGGTTTGATAGTAAAATAAACTTGTGCCGGTTTTGTTTTGACAGGAAGCAATCACAAGAAATTGTTGCCTCCAATGAAGCGTCGGCACAAAACGCAGTCAAGAAAAATGAAAAAGACCAACCCAGCAGCAATAAGCAACAACAGTCAAAAAGCAAGGAAGAAAATGATAATCGCACAAGTGATAAAGATGTTCAAGATAATACAGACAACACAGAATATTTTGCTAAAAACAAGAAGAGTAAAATGACGGTCTTTTTTCATGCTGTTCTTGCCCCTAATTTCAAGTTTGATGCTCAGCAAGGTGACAGAATCTTCATGAGGTTTGGTGGGCCACTTTTTGGAGATTTCAAAACTGATGTTGTTGAGGTTTATCCCGAAAGGTACGGTTAATGTCGTGAAGTATTTAAAAGGAATGCTTTTGCACGAGGTGCCATCTTCGCCGCCATGCTCAATTTCAACACAAGTTTTTCCACGAAATTGGAACTCCAACGGAAAATAAACATGCCAGGATCGTAGCTATAGGATAGCAGCAGATATAGAAACCAATGAAGCTTTCCCAGATAGAGAAACGAATCCCACAGACTTTCACAAACTCGAAGGATATAATCCTAAAAGACCGAGAACGTGCTCGCCGAAGTAGCCGGGCCAGATCAACATACGGCCAAGAAAATAAGGCTTGGGCACTGTACAAAAGAATCCATCCCGGGAGTCTTGGGTTTACCTTTCTGGGAACCGATACATCATTTGCCCAAAGCCACCCTCCCCTGCTGGAAAAATACTTGATAGAAGGCAATTGTTCTTCCTAGCCAATCACAATTCGCCAGAGCAAACCCCGCACACGCGCCTAAATTTAAATGGCTAAAAAAAAAATAAAACCAGGATAGTCTGTTGAGATACAAGGCGCCCCATTTCTTTTACGAAGGAATGGAAATAACAGTAATGAAACTATGAAATAATAACGCGAAATACTTGCAAGGCGGGCTAAAGACAAGGTTGAACAAAAGGTAGATGATGAGATACTGAGATACTGTTGCTGTGAACTTTCGGTCTTTTTGGATAAGTTTAAGTTTAAGTTTAATATTCTTTTTACCAATGCACAAAATAAAAATGTATATACATATATAAAAGTACAATAGGTAAAGGAAAGCAATAGGGGGAAACTGAATTCCCATATAAAAAACTGCCCTCCAAAACGAAAAGATAAAACAATTAAGAATAGAAAACTAATACATAACTATACATCACGTGATACTAAGAGAAAAAAAAGACTAAATAAACTACTAAGATATTAAATAAAAAGGAAAATCCAAATTCAGTAGGAAATAATAAACATATGACTATTTACAAAGATAATTAAATAATAAAGTTTTAAAAGAGTTCAATATTCAATAAAAAGGAAAATCCAAATTCAGTAGGAAATAATAAACATATGACTATTTACAAAGATAATTAAGTAATAAAGTTTTGAAAGAGTTCAAGCTGGAAGCAGACATAACGAAGTTTGGTAAAGAGTTCCAGTCATTAACGTAACGATTAAAAAATGAAAATTTAAAATAGTTTGTCCTTGCTGCTCTAGGCCTGATTTTAAAGTCATGGTTTCTTCTAGTTCTTGTCGGGCCAGTCAGATCCACATATGTGTTTGTCAAAGTCTGTGGGATTCGTTTCTCTATCTGGGAAAGCTTCACTGGTTTCTATATCTGCTGCTATCCTATTTCTACGATCCTGGCATGTTTATTTTCCGTTGGAGTTCCAATTTCGTGGAAAAACTTGTGTGGAAAGGGAGCATGGCGGCGAAGATGGCATCTCGTGTCTCCTGCCTTGTATATTATTATTGTATATGGAGTGAATTTGAACAAATTATCACGAAACGTCGTAGGAACATTAAGGACAACAACAACTAACTGCAGAGTAAGTTTCATTGATCTTTATTTAGCATTTCCTAGAAATTTTGGGATCGTATTTTTACCCCATACAAACACCATAATTTTACTGGAACCATACTGTGGTACTATCACAGAGCCTGGGTTACCTGTGATGCAACTGAAACAACACAACTGTACTCTTTATGGCCCGAGTACCTCAGCAGGGTCGAGGTGATATTACCTTAAGACATATGTTAGTTTTCATTATTGTATTGTTTCAAAAGTTTCTTCGAACTTTGTTATTTCTGTTACTTGCCTCAAGTTCATATTGTGCTCAGAATCTAAATTCTGTTATACCGCTATATTCTGTAAAAACAGTTGTTAACAGTGATCCTTGGTCTGCCAGAGTACTGTCTATATTTGTCGCAGCCAAGTTACGGTACTGAAGTAGCAGCCAACATTTAACCCCAGATCTTTCTTAGTTCCCAGCCCTCAAAAAGTTCGCTTTGCATTGAACGCATTTCGGATGAGTAACGTTTCAGATCGGTCAAGTTCAACGTCGAACTGAGGTTCGCGTCCAAACGTCTGAGGTGTTATTCAGTTTGTATTACTTTATTAGGCATTGAGTGGAAACCCTGGGAAGACTTTTAACAATAACTAGTTAATCAGTGTAATTTTCTTCGAAGTTTTGTCAAAATAATTGGCTTTCTTTTGTTGAAAGCACTTCACGCTTCTTTAAAACCATGTGAACAAACGACGCCAAAAGTATCCGCAGTTTCAAAAAGTTTAGTAAACTAACAGAGTGTTGGCAGCATATAATTCTTTGAACAGTGAGAGTAATAACCTTAGCTTTGAAGTACTTTGCTTGACTTTACAAACTTCTCTCGTTTCCCCGGCCTTTCGGGTAGGTTATGTCTTCAAAATGAATTAACCGTGTGGGCCTGTGGAAAACGGTACAGGAAATTGTCAAGTCCGTGTCGTCCGAATCGTCTGAACTTCTTGGGCGATTGAGACGATCCAGACGATTATATAGCATAAAGTTTGGTTACTTATTGGAATTTCAATAGGAAATAAGAAGTTAACAAGATTCTATCTAATTGTAGTTATTTGGAAAATGATTTCATCCTGGTTGGAGCACAGCTGCACCTACCAGTTGAGTACGCTTCTGGCACACTCCGTTACAAGTACGTTATAAGGAAGGAAAACAGAAAAGAAAAGCATCTGTGGGAACACTTAGAAGGCTTTGGAGTCAAATGCAACAGATCCCTTCAAATTCCAAAGGCCAGGCGTGAGTCAGGAGGTAATTTTTTTCACACCTTTTCTTGCGTTGAAGTATCCTTAGCAAGTTGAAATTTTCCTAATGACTGTTTATTAATTTTTTAAAAGAAAAACTAACAACGAAAACTAAAACCCGCAAAAATAGAGGATAGTATAACAGACAACCAACGCCAAATAAGACCACAAAACATGGCTCTGAGAGTACAACAAAACTTAATTTATGCTGCCAAGAGGAAATTGTTTTCTCCCCATACGAATCCTCATGTTTCGAGGGTCACCAAACGTTGCTGCAAAGTTGAGACTGGAACCTAGAATTCCAACATAAACTGGCTTACCAAATGGCAAATACGGACGAATACTGAAAAATGTTATAACCTGTGAGAGAGCCCACCATTTCGATTTGCGAGCAGGCGAGCCACGAGGGCACGCATGAGCGATGAGTGGAGGAGAGTAGAGCTCTCTCTTTCTTTTTCCGCCCCTTCCTCTCGGGTCCCCTTTCGCGCATCGATCGCACGTGACTCTCCCGGCATAGTTCAGTTCAAGAAGCTCACGTCTGTGATTGTATCAAGCTTTTTCTTCTTTCAAAAAGACAAGAGCTCACTAGTTCTAAAGTAAGTAATCTCTCTTTAGAGGAAAAATGACGCTCTCTGTTTTTCAGCTGTTTGGCACCAGTATGATGATGGTATTTTTAGCCAACAAAGCGTTTTTCAAAAACTTTGGAACAAATCGGACTCTCTGGAAGGCAGAAACATTGCGACGAGGGCAATGCTGCCTCTTTGGGAAGGATTCACAGTAGGCCAAACAACCACAACTATGACTGCTTGGGAGGCAATAACAGCTGTGGGAGATTTAGCTTATTGTATGACTCAAACACAAGTGGAAGATCATGGCCACTGGAAAAGGAATGTTCCGTTATCATATGACTTCAGTGGAGTATGTACTTACATTATTACAAGTGTATCTAGCAAGGATAAAATTGATTACGGTTACGTCAATCTTTTGTGCAACACTAAGATGTCCCAGGAATTGCTGTCAGTGAATAATAAGGGAGGACAGTAGTTGTAATGCGGATAGGTACATGTTCATGTTTAATTGGTGAACGGCGTTAACCTTTCGAACTTAGTTACATGTGTATGTTAAGGGACCTAACACAAGAAAAGGGAAGAGGGGATGGTAGAGTTTCTGCGGTTTTACTTGTAAACTTTTTTTCCGTTCGCAATATGTACATAGTTTTCTTGTTGTTGGTGTTGTTTTTCTCCTTAATAGCTGATATGTATTTTTCTTCCGGCTGTATGCATTTTTTGTTCACCTTTTTTTTCCATGTTTGGATTCTGTTTTGTTTTTCCCACCCACCCACTATTCACTCTTCTAATGGTCCGGCCCTTAGGTCAGAATGTGCCGTATTGTAAATGAGCGTTGGAAGCCAGATCCAGCTTGTATCGTTAAAAGATCTCTTGAAATCATTCACCTAATGGAAGTACTGTGGCCTTTGGTTTGGATATGTGGTCTTTTAACTTTGATCAAAGACATCGAACAGAATTAGCTTTCTAGCTAGCTGAAGCAGTGGTGATTGTTTGTTAACCAGTTGGTGTTAGTGCTTTGTTTGTTTTTCTCTCGATTATCTCTTTCGCTCTTGTCCCTTTTAGCTTTTGAAGAAATTCCTCCAATCGAAGATTCACGAAAACGCCTCACTTCAGTCAGCCGTAGAGGAAAACAAAAAGATCCGTCGCTTGGTTTCATCGATAGCAATTGCTTACGTCATTCATACGCATCACGTTCTGCTCGATAGAGAGGATTATGCCAAGCTGTTTCCATCTCTCATCCTTGAGCGAGACCAGAATGGACAAACTTGCACTGCCTATGACAAACTTATAACACACTTTCCTAGTGTGAATTTGCAGTAAGTTTTTTTTCTTTTATCAAAATTTTTATAGATCAATAGAATTAACCGGGGGGTTTTAGAGCCAATCAGAAACGGTGAAATGTTTTGAATGAATAATAATGTAACATACAACATTCACTGTTTTGACGTTTTTCCAAATTGATGCCCACCATACATACCTCCATGACTAGTGCATTTCAGTGAGAATTTTATTGCGTCTTTTACATGTAAAACATTGACACTTAAAGTTCCTGGTGGATCGGCTTTTAGCAGGTCTAGACCGGGCTTTTATCGATTTCAAAGTTTATTGTTGTCATAGTGATATCGATTTTACTTTACACTACATTTTGACAAACCTCAATCCAAAGTCAGTCAGTGGTGAAAATTTCGTAGCGATCGGACAAGGATAAAATCACTTTAAGGTGATTGAAAAACTTTGGTATAGTCTCCAAAAAAAATGTATCGAAACACCTTAAAGTGAAAGGCTCATATCTCAATTTGTCTAAGGGCCTGTTTATATAAGATGAAGCAGCCTGGTTAGCCGGACTGACCTGCTCAATCGGTCTGTCTGTCACGCACAGCTCATGCCTCAATTCTTTTTAAACTTTTGTTGTATTTTATGAGAAGGCGAGATCTTTGTTGGAGCAACTGAGCCCACGCCATCTTAGATTACCGCACGATTACAACTTAATAACTTGCAAATCCAGTAGAACAGTTATTGAATGATATTCTTAAAGTTTTTTCATGTATGCAAACAAACTAGTGTCCGTTTATGTTATGCTAGGAAGCTGGGTGAAGCCATTCAGGCAATTTGTAGGCATGTTGCCAAGGAATGTGATAGCCTTCATGAGTGGTTGTTTGCTGTACCCTTGGTCCATTTTCTGACCCAGGCATCAGAACCGTTTAGTAGTGATGTGTTGCTCATGGAGGAACCTAAACGTAACGATGAGACCTGGTGGGGTGCCACTGGCTTTGAAACGAAATGCGTGAGAGAAAGAAGTTTGACAGAAAACAGGTAAAAAAAACGTTAAGTTTATTTTCAACGATAAACCAGTTACTTATGAAATAGAAAAAGCATTTACAATAGCAAACTTCATTTAACCCATCATTAGAAATAGTTTTTAGGCGCCTATACAGCTCTTATTTTTAGCAGATCTATCTTATGAAGGCATCACAAGATGCTGAATATGTCTGGATTGGTTTAGCTGCCGATACGAAGATCTGGGAGTTCCAGCTAGGAATAGTTGCGAGCTCAATGACCAGTTGCATCCCTGGCATTTCGAGAAGACAAAGAGGTGCTAAATTAATTAAACAGAGAAAAAAAAATAAAAAAAAGAATTAAACAGAGGATCCTCTGCTGTAGAAAATTTATAATCTTCGCAATCTTGGGTTCGATGGACCTATTCATCGAGCAATTGCTTGCACTTGCCGAGTGCCGGCTTTAGTGGGATTGAACAAGCGTTTTCTTCTCGTCGAATAAGTTTAGCTACAGGTCATTGCGCAAATACTGCAGCCTTTCCTTGCTAAGTTCCTTGGGACTAAGAATCGTTGTGTGATCGAAGCCACGCATGTTTTGTGAAGAAAGCTTAGGAAAAGTTAAATTTAGAGCTTTTCCAAAACGTGTCGGTCCACTAATTCTATCGTTTCAAAGCGTTGATTACTCGGGAACAAATGAACACTACTGAGTGGTCGGAAAAAAAAATAAGAATCTTAATTAGCAAAACTGCAATCAGGGGTACCCAACGAGAAGATAGTTCCAAACCACTTAAATATAGTATTGTTGAACGTATTTTAGTAAACGGTAGATATAGACATATTTTTATCCCTAAAAAATTTTCATCTGTTCGGATTCCTAGCTGAAAGTGTAGTGATCCGAAAATTATAGGGATCAAAACTTACCTTTTCGAAAATTTCAGCCAGAAAAAAGGCTCCTGTAAATTCTAGGCGAGCTTTTTGGGGTAAAAATCCGTTGAAAATGGGCAATTATACCATTTTTTAGATGTTCCTAGGAGAGGCAGGCAAGCAAGAAATTTTACAACAAATGTTCCGAAAATTCTAGATCTCAAATCGTCTTCCGAACAGATATTTTCCAAAAATTGACGTTAGGTGCGCCTGTGCGATGATCGGGTGTTGTAAACTTTCATTGTATGCAAATGGGTCTTGTGATGAGCATGCGGTTTATTTTCGGCGATTATTGAAATGACGTTCCATGTAAATCGCTTTTTTGATCTCTGGAAATGATGTAAGTTTTCTGGAATCGAGGCCCTTGAATTTTCGTGTATTTATACACGCGTATAGCCTGCGACCGCAGGCGTATTTCCTGTCGTCGCTAACACGTCTACTAAATCAGTTCAGAAACAAATAAAAAGTATCGACCTCGATAAAGTAGGATGTAGTAAACTTTTAGCGAGTAATTCTTGTTTCGTGTAGAATTAATCGCCTCCTCATTTCTCGATCTTATCTCCAAGCAATCGAGACTGGATGCCGCTGTATCATCTTTTAGTTTTTGAGGGCAGTTTTTATATGGGAATTCAGTTTCCCCCTATTGCTCTCCTTTACCTACTGTACTTTTATTTATAGTTTCTTTTTTATGATGATGATTGTTATTGTTAGTTGTAGTATTTTTTTGGTTCAGTGGTAAAAAGCATTATTAAACTTTAAACTTTAAACTTTGACTCGCGAATAAAGTTTTCATTCTTCGAGTGCATCCAGTTTCATTGTATGTTGCCATCTACAACATTGCATGAAACAGCGAAACACAAGTTTTAATCTGTATCTAACGGAATTTAGTGTTCAAAGTAGTGTTGGTGCGGCTTCGAGGTGCCAGATCCATAGAAGGCTGAAAGAGTAAATAAGAGATTGCAAGGCATTTGTGACAAGCCGGAAGGGCTCAGTTTGCGTGGGGAAAACTAGCCCATTTTTATAGCGTAGCGAAGCGAAAAAAAAAAACTACTATGAAAGTTAACTTTTGCAGACTACAGTAAAGGCAGAGTGCCTCATTTATTGTGTTTTGGTACAGATATTCCTGCAGTAAAATGAACGAATAGAGGACTTCTTTGAAAAATATGTGAATATGACTTCATTTATTAGTAGGCTTAGTAGTTTTGTTATCTGACTGTGTTATTTATTTTCGTTTGCCAGATTCCTTTCGTCCTGGATTGAAAGATTTTCTCCTTTATTTGAGCTGGATCCTCTCTTTAGAAGGACGTTTCTCCTAGTAGTTCCTGTTCATGTGTTTGGTAAAATTGCCTCTTCGGGGGCTTTTGCATCCGTTGAAATATACACCACGCTTGCCAAGGTCTTATTTGGAAAGAGCTACTTAGTGGAAAAGGAGGTACCACTTTTACGAGCTTTGAAATTTAGGATTAGTCCATGTTGACATATCGATAAGCTGCAAGTTGCTGATCTCGATTTTATTTCAAGTCTTTAAGTAGCATATATTATAGAAGCAAGAAAACATAATTATCCTCTGTCGATAGAATGTAATACTTAGCAATTTCATTTCCGGGTGCGTTCGCTGGCGCATGTAAACGTAAAGGTTGAGCAAGGTTCAACTTTTACGTTTACGCGCGACCTTTCATACATTGCCTCTATTTTATTTACGCACGTAAACATTACGCAGTAGTGGAAACCACCCTAAAGAGCGAGCGAAAATGCCTAACCACCGTCTTTGTTAAAGCTATGCGTCCGATAATTTTTCAGTTATTGAACATTGATTTTTTTGAGCCTAGGCTGGTTAAAATATTATCGTTGAGATTTAAGTACATCGGAAACTGAGAAACATAGACGTTACCAGGCTTTTTCTGGTAATGGTCTCTTTCGGTGTAGTCAGTGCGACGTGTGTTGGTGAAAATATAGTTTTTGTAATGGTTTTTTGTTCAATTTTTGTTGGAATCTCACGTTTTCTATTTTATCTAGTGGGAGGCAGTTGCCACCAGCTTAAAGATGGATTTCAAGACAGTCCATAAAATGACAGCTAAAGAGTAAGACTGATTGATTTATGCTTTTTATTGAATTTCAAACTGGTTTCAAACCAGTAGAACCAGTCGTTTGTGTAAAGGCTACTCTGAATTATTACTCATTATGAAAAAGGTTTTCTGTAAGCATGTGATACTATAGTCAACTCCCTCTTAACGGACATCTCGTGTTGGTCCCTGCCGGTTTTTGAGACATTTTACTATAACTATAAGACGGACAACGGACACCGTGAGAAGTGCTCTATGCAATAAAAAATACCTCAAAACCATGGAAATGTAGGTGCTCTACATCACCGTAAATTGCAAAATTTCTTATATTTTGTAGTCTTTCTCCGGTTCGTAGTATAGAGTGTATACTGTTTCGCTTTTTGACCACGAAGCCGTGAACTTTTGCTTGTAATAAACGTTTGATTTCTTAATAAGAAAATGATTCCTCTTTTCTGTTACAGTGTTCCAGTTTTAGCTGTTTCGCACAAGTTAAACAGACGTGTCTTTAATGCGCATGGGTTCAGCTTAGTTTTTACTGGTGTCACGTTACCTTGACTCTCTTATAAGCCGGACACTTTTCTAAGACGGACAGTCGGGGCCGGTCCAGAAGGTGTCCTTCTTAAAGAGAATTGACTGTGTTTTCAAAAAAGGAGTGATTGGCAAGTTCCTATGTTTAATTGATGTTTATGCATCGTAAAATTTTAAATTTCTTTTTCAATAGGTTTTCCTTCCCAGGTGATAACGTCGTCTGGAATCAAGAAGTTGTTCTCTGCTGCATTTCCTGCCTACGCATTATAAGGGCTGTTTGCAGCTCTAAATGCAGTATGCAAGTGCTGCGTGATGGTTTACATAGCCTTGAGTCTTGCATCTCTATGCTTTTGAAGACCGCTGTGACAGAGGGGGAAGAAGAGGAAGCGTTTAATAAAGTTCAGAAATTTTTGGCGGACTGTTTTGAAATCATCAATAAGTGGTTGAAGGAGAACTTGCTCCCTGGAATTCCTTGCTACCTAAAAGATGAAGCTGAGAAAGAACTTAAGGTATATTTAAAAATATAACACATTTAACATAAAAAAATTATCTTTATTTCAAAGCGAAATTTACAATTTACATTTAACTTGATTCTTGTTGTAAAGAATTAAATGTCCTAGCGCTGATTATCGCGGAGGAAAACAAAACAGGAAGAGTTTTTTAAACCGTTTTATACACCAGAAAAACGCTTAAGGCCGCCCTAAGGCTAGGTAAAGGCCAAGAAAAAGGCGAAGAAAAGGCCAACTTCAGTTTGTGTTTCGGCGTTTCTACGGGATAGAAAGGTGTCATGACAAGAAATTTACCCGATATTTTTACGGATGGATTTGTAGGTCTGGACCGACCTGCTGTCTCTGGAATGGACAAATGAAAGATGCGAAGAGCTTTGGAGAGGCCGCCTGTTAGAAATGTTGAAAGTGCGCTTGGAAGTGGTAGGGTTACAGTCATTTTTTATATGAAAAGAAATTTAATCTAAGCTGTTATAATGTAATCTCCTTACCCTAGCTGTGGTACCTGCATTTCCAGTACATTATCCTTTGCAGCCTCGTATCGGCTGTGTATGCAAGAAAACTATGAACCGGTCCTATTGGTCTTTTAAGGTGTCGACTTCATTGATAAAAACAGGTTAATATGGATTGGTTTCTCCTGATTCTTAGAGTGACAGTAACGGCCTTGTGGAAGTCTTTAGCAAAACTAATGTGGCTGCTCAACACAAATGCGTTCAAGACTTGGTGTCCGAAGTGACATTCCAAAGAGTGGAGGGCATGCTCCAGGTAAAATGTGTTTGATTACTCAGTAAAATCGCTAACATTCATTTGTTAACTAAGGTCACGTGACTGCTTTGCAACCACGCACTTAAGACTGATGAAGACTGAGCGATTCAGTGAACAAATTTATTACATTTCCATTCTGTAATGTATTGAAGCTTACGTCAGCGGAACGTGTAATGAATTTTTTCGCTTCTATTTGTTGAATAAGTGTATGAACTGTCATTTTGACTCAGGCAAGGTAATGGTAGATCGCTTTTAACTGTGAAAGACGAAAATAACAGTTTTTAATGTATTTTATTTCTTGCCATTACATCACGTGTTCTGATTTGTTCGCGAGTGGTTCGGAATTCTACGATCCAGACTCCGGCCCCGATTCGCGCGCAGCTCTGCCCACACACAAAAAAACAATCTAACAGTTTTTCGTACTATTTTTTTAACGTTTTTTGTTTCATTTTTACAAAAAATATATAAATAAATAAGAAAATGGAAAAACTATTTTTTTTAACAATTTATTTGGAGGTAAATGACTATTACAGTATTTCGTTACAATGAGTGACAACGAAAGCTTTCGTGATGAATGCTAGTTTCATCCTCAAGTTTTTCTTATAATGTCGTTTTGTTAGAAATTACTGATCAGTTCATGGGAGAATTATGAGCTGAAAATACTACCAAGAAAGCAAACTTTGGTTTGGAAGTGCAGCAGAGGTTCTGTGACAGTGTCAGGAGAGATCGAAAACCAGAAAACATAATTGCAGACGAACTAAAAGTTTCTCCTGTTTCGTTAAAATCGATGTACACTCAACCTCCACTATCGGCCACCTCTCTACAACGGCCCCTTTGTTTGGTGGACATTCCATACATTGGCTCTTGTTTAAACCTCTCTACAAAGGCCACTTGTTTCTGTCCCAAAGGTCACCGTTGCGGACAGGTTCGACTGTATATTGTACACCGGTTAAGGATTACTGCGGATGAACGGTAACCCAACAATTCAAAGGACGTCGATCACGGGATTTTACGATCTGGGCCTATCCGAATCGGCTTGCACATACCATTATATTATGGTGACATGTTAGTTTTAACGTAATTTATATGCATTTTATTGATGACCTTGAAAGATAGAGCTACGTGGTTGATTTCTCCAATTTCTCTCTCAGAGGGGAACTGAACGTGAAGAGCTCTTTAAGAACCTTTCGGAGTATGGCCTTGGATCTCCTCAAGCTTCAAAGTGCGGTGAACTCTTAACACTGATGCTTACCCATTGCTGGCCTAAACCACAAGGAGGTATTCCCCACTCCCGTAGAATGATTCTCCAGCAAGTACTGACCTGGAGGTTATGGCCTTGCTTTTTCCAGAGATTTGGTAAGACTATAATTGGATTCGTTTGCGTAATCCTTTTTAGCAGAAGACTTTTTCAGCGTGCGATTTAACTGTTAGTATATGCATTTATTGGTGCCAAAGTTGACCGTAAGACGTGTGAAAGCACTGTGGTGTACTATTCGTTTACATCCACATGGAAACGTCTGTTACGTAAAAAACGTGTTATTACCTCTTATAAAGAGGTATAGTAGTCTCTTATGAGTTTGGTTTTTGTCACACGGGACTACATTTCTGTTGTATTAGGTGGAAAATCGTATGTTGTTTTCTGATTTGTCGAGTTCAAGGAGTTCTGCAGGCATAAACATAGTAGTGATTTCTTCAGAGAGGCAGCTGCAAAAACTGCATAGTAATGCAAAAGTTCTTATTCTGTAAACTTCATTGGAGTGACTAGATGATGCTTTACGAATTCTTTGTTTTTATTCTGTGTTTCCTCTCGGGACCCGGTGTTTCCCTTCGGGTTGGTTGATAAACCAACATCGTTTCAACGTTTCAACAGGCTGAATAAATTCAAAGAAGAAAGCATTATGAAAGAGAGTGTGTAAAAGCTTAAAAGCACGGTAGTTTTGCCCTTTTTGTACGGAGAAAACCTTAAAGCGCTATCAATCAAGCGTTTCGCTGGTGGCAAAACACGAGATTCCTTATCATTGGTGCAGCAAGCTTCCATTCTGTTAAATAACGATTTGGTCAGGTTCTTAGGATATACATGTATGCTTTCCTCTGGAGGGAGGAAGCAGCTCATCCAAAAGGAGGTACCCCACCTAATATAACTAGAGGCATATCGAAAGGGACCTGGATCCTGGCTAAAAGAGTTAAATTTCACTTTTCTTCTGTAACAGTTAAGCTGTGAAGTCTCTTATTGCTCCAGCAATTTTCAAAGGCAAATGACTGTTGTCTGAGAAGAGAGCAGAAAGAAAATAGAACATGCTGCTATTTTGCCCGTTATTTGCATTTTTGGGTATTAATGACGACGTCATTATAACTGAAATGCTACAAAAATGTAAGTGTAAATGGAAAAGAAATGAATCGCGGTTGAATAAAATTATAAAACACTGAAAGTTGACCAATTTCTTTAAATATGCTACTCAAACTTATCTGTAAATACATTTGATGCTGCAAAATTATAAAGGCAACTACAAAGTATCCTTTCTGGGGTTAGTTAGAAACTTTTTTTTTAGGAGACGTTCTTTGCTTTTCATCAGGTCGAAAGTCTGATTTTCGGCAAGTACTTAAACCAGATGGACAGGAGATTTTGACCAAGGCTGTGTCAACTATTGAAGCTGCAGTGATGTACCTAGAGGATAAATCTATTACTTTGCAAATGCTAACTCTTGTGCGTGATAACTCTGAAAGATTTCTGGAGCTTTGCGAACAAATCGAACAGATTGTTAAAGAGAGGAGTAAGGAATACTTGGAAAAACTGTTAAACCAACGTATCATCGAGCTAACTGCATTTCAAGAAGAACGAAAGAAAGTTAGTTCTTTTGTCAGGATGTGTTCGCTCATCACACAAGGTAAACAACGAACGTTGCGCGGTTTTTATACACCATAGTTATGTACTAGGTAAGTCTTACGATGACATCAAACCTGGCAAAGGCGAAACGGTTAACTTCCTGTCAATTAACGCGATTTCCGGATTCTCAACCATATGAAGATATGGTCAATGTGAGTGAGTGTAGTCCTGAATAGGATTGTTGATAACATCGGCTGAAGTTTCGACATCCTTGCGGAAGTCTTCATCACAGTCAAAGTGAGGAGCAAGGGTGGCACAGTGGTGAGAATCCTAGCCTCCTACCAATGTGGCCCGGTTGTTGGTTTTCTCCCTTGCTTCAAGAGGTTTTTCTCCGGGCCCTCCGGTTTGCCCACTCCTTAAAAAGCAACACCAAATTCGAATTCCATCTGGTCAACGCACGGACACGTTTCAACGTGTTCTTAAAAACTCTTAAGTGCTTTGTGGGTAAACAAATTACACTTTCAGTATACAACTAAAATTTATCATAAACTATGACGTTACGTTCGATACGTTAATAGCGCCTTTATAGATTAAATCTTGGTTTTCTCTTTTTTTCCAGTAAATGTAGATGAATTGTCGAGGAAAACTGTAGTGGACGCCTCTCGTTTGCCGATTAAAGACCTGGCACGGTCAATAGTTGTTAATGATAAAGTGCGCCCAGTGGTAACGTTCTTTCAGCTCTCGCCTAAGGCAAAGGCAATGATTTCAGAGCTCAGCACACTATGCAACAGTACACTTCTTCGGCGATTTTGGATTGAAAATGGCAACAAGGCACTTTCACACATTGCACAAAGGCAGGGACATAAAGGCTTACTAAATGTCGACGATGTTGAAGAGTTAGTGTGGGCACCATCAATTAAACAGCTGCAGTCTTTGCAAGATCGTTTTCTGTACTGTACCATTTCGTTTGGAGAGATTGACAAGTTCTTTACGGTTTTCCATAGCACCCAAGAGCTCGCTAACGAATTCAAGCTTATCACCTCAAGAAAAGGCGTTAAATTAGCAGCCTGCGAATCGATAATCGACAAGCGCATTGAGCAGATAGGTCAATACTACAAATTGCAAACCTGCACTACCGCCGCTGGTAACATTTTAGAATTTAAAGACAGTCTGGACCTTCAAGGAGATTTTCAGCTGGTAAAAGATCTACAAAACCAGGTTCATATTAACCTTCATTTAATAAATTGAACTTTCTTCCCCGTGTGGAAAGAAAACCTTGAAATCGCTGAAAGCCAATTTCCAATTTCCTGCTTGCATTTTAACGCCTTACTGGTTCATGTCACTTGTTATGGTGAAATATTTAACATTTTCTTACCCTTTTTTACACAGATGACCAAGGAATTCAAACAGAAACCACTAACAACCATGAATGCAGCTTTACAACATGCAGGCAGATTACTGTCGCTGATAACGCCTGAGCGCGCAGAGTGTCTTGCTGCTGTTGCTATATGCAAAGATCTCATCTCTTGGATAAGGGAAACGATCAAAGGTAGAATATGCGGTTACTTTAGCTATTTTCACATTGTACTTAAGATAAGTGCGCGTATAGAAAAGAGACGGAAGCGACGATGTCTAAACTGTGTCGCTACATAACCGTTGATAGGACAATGACTTTCGACCTTTTATTGTGACCTTCTATTCCTGATATTCAATGTTTGAACTATGGACTAAGCAAGTCAGCGTATACGGGTCACTCCTGTTCCGCAAACAGTGAGTGTGAAACAAAATGTTGTTTGTACGACCCTCTTAGGCCAAAGTTCCCGTTGCTACCACTACTTGTCGGCATTTCGCTGGGGGGCGTTTACCATCCTCACTGGATTGTCGACTGTCGTAAAGAGTCTTTAAAACTGACTCATTAAAAACGCTACCACTAATAGTGATAATCACTTAATGTTGGGCTTATAATATATAGATAGTTAAATAGGTAGACATGAGACCCAGACACAGACCGGCGGACAGATGCAAAGACACTTACCGTTGAAATGGGCAACTTAAATGGCGATTGATCCAACAGAAGGCCTGGATTTAGTCGCGACTGGAACTTTTCCTCTTGGGAAAAGCTTGTGGAACCCCAAGTAAAATAGGGGCATTTCTCGTCGTCGTCTTTCCCGTCTCCGTCCACCTCTGTCAGGAGATCTTGTGAGTAATACAGTATGTGAGAATACTTCAACGCATTTATCTTTTCTTGTCGATCTCTTTCTTAGGCCGCCAAGAACTCAAGGTCCTTGTGGATTTGGCCATAATCTCAGCTGGGGAGGCAGACGTAGAAACGTCTAAGATCATGTGTCTACATACCAGCTGCCTTGGCTTTGCCCCCCTCATCTTTGATTTGGAACCTACCTTTGGATTTGAAAAACTGATGAGAGCTTGTGAACCAGTTTGGAATGCTGTGGATGCTGACCCCGCCCTCCCCAAAAAATTGGTAGGCTTGTTTAGCATAGAGTATGGCGAAATAGTTAAAATTTTCATTTTGTCGCATGTGTGATGGGACTTGAACCTATCATTTCTGAGTAGCGGTCTATTTGGTTGATGGCGTATTATTTAGGAATGGAATTTTAATTTACCTGAAAGGGTCATACAGGTATTCCAAGTCGTACATTTTTGAAGAAGTAAAAGTGAAATATCAGTACTTCTGTACTTAGTGGTATGTTTGGATCATTTTGAATTTCCGTTTAAGTAGTTAATTCTTTCTATACGTTGATGTTGCCGGCTTAACCTCCTAACCCTCTAACGTAAAGTAAAGTAAATGGCGGAATGTTGAGATTACATCTGGCTATCTTACTTCAAATGAAATCTTAGGTCCTTGTCCATAGTCTGATAGATTTGCGTTAAAATGTCAAATTTCGTAAGTCTTCTTCAACAGGACAGCCATTAAGGATTACTACAAGTATTCCTTCTACCCAAGGACAGTTACAGAATGGAATATGAAGGGATATAGCATTGTCCAATTCGCTGGCTGCTTTTTAAAATGCAATTTCAAACATATATCAACAATTTTATTCCTTTGCGCTCATAAGCTCCTTTTCAGTCACCTTTGTTTTTCCTTTTTTTAGAACGCTCTGAAAAGCTCAGTATTAAGTGACAGACCTAAATGGTAAATGTAAATGAAAATGTAAACAGGACAGTCACACTAAAGGTGACTACTTTAAACTTCACAATAGGCCATTTCCGAATTCCCTTAAGCCTCTTTTTCAAAGTGAGTGCTGGTGCACATCTTTTCGTTTGAAGAGAAGTTATGATACAAATGCAGGTAAACTCATTTTTATCTGGAAGCTTGTCTACCAGGCCTCGCTTTGATAGGGATGCTGACGGTGACTCGGAAATGGGCTGTATCCTGATGCTTTGTCAACGGGGACTACTCACGAAAGTTCGGTTACACTTCTGCATCTGAGTATCATCCATTTTGCATTTTTTGCCATTAACTTCCACATGTAGTATTTCAACTTATTTCTTTGTCTTTTTGCTTGCTTTGGCCTTATGCAGGTAGCCACAAGTCACCAGTTAGGGTGGTTGAAGCGGGTAAAAAATTATCATGGTTCAGTAGCTACGTCCTCTCTGATGGAAGCTCAAGCTATTAATGAAAAGGGTGTATACCGTGTTGGCTGTCCCAGTAAGGATGCCTGGACATCAATGGAAACGCTGTCAGTCGATGCTGTGATTGAACTCACGGTGGACCCAGATAAGAAAAGATTCACCCTTGACAACCTGAAGGATTTACAAAGTAAACTGATGCTTATTGCGGCCAAAGCTTCACATGGAAAAGAAGACGTGGACCGATTTGTTGATGTAAGTCCAATCTTAGATAGTTCTTAAGTCTGATCAATTAAATATGAAACGGTTTAAATGCAATATATAGTGAATTTTTCTGCAAAATAATAGATGTGATATTTTGCCTGGCGTTTCCTTTCGTGGCTCGAAGGTACTTTTCTCTTATACGGTAGCAATTGCTTACGGCTGAACGTGAAGTGTTATGTGTACATGGTTTTCTTACATGGATTGTGACAATCGGCATTTGGGATTGCCCACAACGTTTATCTAGTCTTTCCTGGAATTACTGATCACTTTTGTTACACTTTTTCTTCTAAAGGTTCTTCATTTTTTGTTTTCTTTCGGAATTAACAGATCCTGCAATGTGTTCAGCGACTTGCTACAGTGTACATCGCTCTTTGCAAAGCTGGAGAAGTAAGCCATCTCCGTTGGAAGCATGAATTTCAGTGTACACCGCGGCTTCCTACCAACCGCTCCCTTACACAGGATTTGGAAGAACAAAGTGCCCAGATGGAGCAGTGTCTTCAGTTGTGGAAAAAAGAGCTGCATACTAAGCGTATGCTGTACAATGAACTGAATCATTTCACCACCCGTCAGTTGTTGTTCCTTCGAAAACAGCTGGCCGTTGTTCAGGGAAGAGGTCCCAAGGCTATCGATAACATTCCTCCTTCGGTTTATAACCTTTTGGAGAGTGTGTTGCCTGGCGTTGAGCCAGCCATTCTTAAGTCTGTACTTATCTCTTGTGGAATTTGCAGCCAAACAACAGGTGACAGTATCGTCAGATCGTATGGTACGACCGGCGCAGTTCAACCCAGCATTCTATTGCACCAGCCTAGGTTGAAATCATCACATGTTGAAATGTTTCAAACGCTTGTAGCAAAATTAGAATCGATTGGTCACTCAGAGGCTGAGAAGTTTGCCATTGCATCAATGATGTCATGCAAAGATGCCAACAAATTAGATCTCTTTGTATGGTGTGTAAAAAACGCTGGCAACAAAGATCTAATTGAAGCTAGTTACTCAGAAGCCCTTCGTGACCCCAGATATTTGGCACTTATCGATAAAGACAGTACCGCATCTATAGAAGAGGAAGGGTGAGTTACATACCACATAGTTTTATTTTTTAAATAAATCTCCACATGAAACTGTTTAAGCGGCCTTAGCTCCCACGAGTCCCCTGTAGCTCAGTGGTAGAACACCTGGACTGGTTACCAGCATGCTTTCGAGCCGCCTGTGTCACTGACTGAATAAGCATCTTTCTTTTTTCTCCACGTTTGAAAAGGCAAATTGGGAATAAAAACAGATTCTTGTCACTTTTGGCGGAAACTGATGGTACAATTTTCTTTGTTTAATCAAACTGTTAGGATTATGATAATTTATGCTGTTCAATGAACGTTTCTCATCGGCTAATTTTTGACATGTGGTTTTTTGATATATTAGTACTGTTCCGTTCTTTTCTCGCGCTCGTCCTTGTAAAATGTGACACAGCGTATGTTTAAGAATAAATGTCCAAAGAGTGCTCGATGGGTTTGAATCTTTCTAACAGGTTATGGGCCCAGGACGTTAAACCAATGCTGTAAGTTACGTGATTGTTATTTTGCCGAAGCGAATGGCGGAGATGTCGTTGACAGAGATCACAAAGATCGAAAAGTTGAACGGGAGAAATTACCAGTCATGGAAGTACAACGTGAAGCTCGTTTTAATGGAGCGTGGTTTGTGGGGTTTCACTCAAGAAGGCCAAGAAACTCCTCCTGCAGCTGATGCATCTGCAGCTGTAAAGAATGCTTTTCGCCTTCGATCTGGTCTTCGCTCATTGCGTTGAACGTGGAAAAGGATTTGCAAGTTCACATATCGTCGGTGACAGACCCGCTCCCGGCGTGGAAAATTTTGCGGAAGCAATTCGAATTTGTGTCAGTCACACAGATTGTTCGTCTTAATCAAGTATGAAGGAAGGCGCAGATTTGATGCAACATTTGACTCCTGTGACTTCTCTGGCTGGCCAATTAAGAGAAATGAATGAAGAAATTTCGTCGAAGAAATTTGCTACGGTCGTGTTAGGAAGTTTACCCGTGTTAAGAAGTTTAAACGCCCGAAGCGCCGATGATCTCGACATGGAAAACGTGAAAGGATGGTTGATTGAAGAATATGTGATGCGGACTGAGAAGAACGAGAAACAAGAATCTGATAATGCACTTTTTGTCAGTAGAGGAAAATCGTCGTACCGTGGAAGTTTTCAACCACGTGGTGGAGCTGGTGGCTGTCGCGGTCGCGGTCGCGGTGGTCGATTTCAGAATTTTAACTCCAATGCTCAGTCCGGCCGTGATGATCGCGATAAACACAGAGGTGTAAAGTGCTTCAAGTGCAACCAGGAGGGACATATCGTAAAGAACTGTCCGTACAACAACAAACAGAACACTGGTAAAAGAGAAAGTTCCAATATGGCCGAACTCGAAGGAGTTGCACTAATCTCAAGCACGATGAATCAGTCAAATGAATGGTTTATTGACTCAGCAGCGACAAAGCACATGACAAACAACAAAAGCTTTTTGGAAAACTATGTCCAGTACCAAGAACCAAAAAGTATTTACCGGGGAGACAGCACAGTAATTCTTGCACATGGCGAAGGAAAGGTCAAACTCCCAACAGTAAACAGAACCCGTGAAATTGTCCTTGACTTGCATCAAGTGTTGTTTGTACCAAAACTGACCAAGAACTTACTTTCAGTACCTGCAATGGCATCGATGGGAGCAGAAATTTACTTTGACAAGGATAAATGTTTAGTACGGAAGAATAGCCAAGAATTTGTTATTGGAAGTCTATTGCGTGACAAGCTATACATAGTCAATTCTGCCGAGTACGCTCAAGTTTCAACAGCAAATAGTGCACCATCACCTGCCGTTTGGCACCTCAGGTTGGGTCATCTCAATTACACCTATATGAATCAGTTGATGAAGAAAGAAATGGTTGATGGCCTGAACTATGATGTTGACACACAATCCCAGAAAGAATGTGAAGCATGTGTTCTTGGCAAAATGCAGAAGAAGCCCTTTCCAAAACAGAGCCAACACAGGGCAACCAGACCATATGAGATTGTACACAGTGATGTATGTGGCCCAATGCAAGTGGAATCAAAAGGCGGCAGTAAATATATGCTGACATTCACAGATGATTTTTCACGATATACCACTGCCTACTTCATTAAATCCAAGAGTGAAGTGCTTTCAAAATTCATGGAATATGTAAATTCTGTTGAGAAACATTCTGGTCATCAGATTATGAAGCTGAACATTCTCACAGAGGAAGATGTTAAAGTCCTCAGAAGTGACAATGGAGGAGAGTACACTTCTGACAAGTTCACTAAATTCTGTGCAGACAAGGGAATCTTGCACGAGTTCACTGTTCCATACTGTCCACAGCAAAATGGTGTTGCTGAACGATTGAATCGCACAATAATGGAGGGAGCAAGATCGATGCTCTACCAAGCCAAATTATCGCTGGATTTTTGGGCAGAAGCCTGCAGCACAGCAGTTTACCTTCACAATCGAAGTCCAACAGCAGCGTTGAAAGACGAAACTCCATTTCAGCGTTTGTTTGGTAGAAGACCAGACATTTCTAATCTGAGAGTCTTTGGTTGTGTGAGTTATGTACATGTTCCAGATAGTCAGCGCAGAAAGTTGGATGCTAAGGCCCACAGAGCAATTTTTGTTGGATATCCTCCTGGTGTTAAGGGTTACAAGTTGTATGATTTGGAGAAGAAGAAGTTTATTGTAAGTCGAAATGTTCAATTCTTTGAAGAGAACTTTGATCATTCTGACGAGAAGGTCAAATCAGATGATGCTGGCCAAGCAGATTTGAAGTTCATTTACCCAGATATGAACCAAGAAAATGAAAGTGTTCCCGTACCTCTCTTACCTGAAGCTCCTCAAGTTCAAGACAATGTTAAACCTCCAGTTCAAGAGTATGTTGAACCCGCACCTGTGCAGAATGTTGAAACAGTGGGAGCACCGCCCAGAGAGAGCTTGAGTGAAGAAGAACCAGTTAGAAGAACATATGAAGATGCATTTATGGAAGAAGTCCGAAACTTAGGACCAGTGAGGCAGCGAAGAATGCCTAGCAGATTCCAAGATTATGATTGCCTATTTGTTGACTCAGAAGTTGACGATCCAGGCACAGTTCATGAAGCATTGAATGGTAAACATTCGGACCAGTGGAAAGAAGCCATGAAGTCTGAATTCTCATCTTTAATAAAGAATGATACATGGGAACTAGTACCTCCACCTGAAGGAAAGAACATTGTTGGATCTCGCTGGGTCTTGAAAGTCAAGCGTAATGAAGATGGTTCCATAGATCGTTTTAAGGCCAGACTTGTTGCGCAAGGTTATTCCCAAGTTAGAGGTGTAGATTATGAAGAAGTATTTTCACCAGTGGCTCGTTATACATCTGTGAGATCGTTACTTGCCCTAGCTAACGCACAAGATTTGGAGATACACCAAATGGATGTAAAAACTGCCTTTTTGAACGGTTCATTGGACTGTGAAATTTACATGTCACAACCAGAAGGATTTGTTGATCCTGACAGACCAAATCATGTTTGCAAACTGAAGAAGAGCATTTATGGACTTAAACAGTCAGCTCGTTGTTGGAACACTACTCTGGATGAGTATTTGAAATCAGTTGGCTACTGCAAAAGCAAGGCTGATGAATGTATTTATGTGAAGTCTGTGAAGGAAGCTAATGGTCACATCAGCTTCGTGATACTTGGTGTGTATGTCGATGACATAATTCCAGTTTCAAACGACCCTGCAATGCTGAAAGCAGAGAGAGCTGCATTATATGAAAGATTTGAGATGATTGATCAGGGAGAATTTCATTTTCTTCTTGGTTTGTCAATCAAGCGAGACAGAGTCGAGAACATTAACAATAAGTCAACCCAACTACACAGAGAAAGTGTTAAGGAAGTTTGGAATGGAAAACTGCAAAAACCTGTCTCTATTCCACTTGAGCCTGGAAGAAAGTTTCAGCAGTTATCTTCAAGTCATGAGCCCTTCGATATTCAGACCTATCAACAGGCAATTGGATGTTTGAACTACATGTCAACAGCAACCAGACCGGATATCGCTGCAGCAGTTGGAGTCTTGTCCCAGTATATGTCAAAGCCCAGCAAAGACCACTGGATGGGTGTGAAACGTGTTCTTCGATACCTCAAAGGAACTTTGAATTATGGCCTGAAATTCTCTGTTCATGGAGAGCAAACAGCATTAAATGGCTACAGTGATGCGGATTGGGCAGGAGATGTTGAAACTCGTAGATCATCATCAGGCTGTGTATTTCAGTTTGGAAATGGTACCATCAGTAGGTCCAGCGGGAAACAACCCACAGTTACTAAGTCCTCGACTGAAGCAGAGTATGTTGCTTTGAGTTCAGCTACTCAAGAAGCTATATGGCTACGTCGTCTAATGAAAGACTTTGGAAAACAGACAGATGCCCCGACTACCATCTATGAAGACAACCAAGGAGCCATTGAGCTGGACAAGAATACCAAATACCATAGCCGAACTAAGCACATTGACATTTGTCATCATTTTGTTCGAGAAAGAGTTGTTTCTAATGAAATTAGAGTGATTTATTGTCGTACTGAGGACATGGTAACAGAGATTATGAGAAAGGGACTACCAAAACCTACTTTTGAGAAACTGAGAGATTTATTAGGCGCGCATGATGTTGTGTGAGGATGATTATTTAGCTCTATGATTCTAGACAAGGTATTATCTTTACTAAACAGCATAATCAGCCATTGGGAGTGTTAGGATTATGATAATTTATGCTGTTCAATGAACGTTTCTCATTGGCTAATTTTTGACATGTGGTTTTTTGATATATTAGTACTGTTCCGTTCTGTTCAATCTGTTCGTTCGTTTAAGAATAAATGTCCAAAGAGTGCTCGATGGGTTTGAATCTTTCTAACACAACCGTTATCCTACGACGTTTAAATTTCCTACTACTGTAACCATTGAGGAACAGATAGCATGTTGTGACCACGTTGTTAACATTAAGGTGTGGTTTCTCAAAGCTCGAAAACTACACTTGACCAGCAGTGGCACTGCCATCAAGGCATGAGATATGGGGAAATTCAGTGATGTATTTATAACAATGAAAGTCATTGCTTAAATGTTTCAGTTTTGTTTCGAACTATTTACGGTTCTTGGATATCTGACGTTTTTTGATTTATTTTAAGTTTCTCTGCAGCGGATATGATGATTGAGCCCGAAGAAGTTCCAGAACTCATGGAAACTGCTTTTACCTCTGACCAGACAGCAGGCGGGGAGTTCTTAAGCCTTGAGGAGCTAGGAAAAGTTCTAAGCCAGCTTGCTTTGCAAGGTGTGATTCAGCATTCACGTTTAGAAAATATCCACTTATCACTCATATTTGTAATTACCAAAATGGCAAGACACTTTTTTTTAAAAGCGAGTCCTGTTGCTCATCCTATCATTTGAAAATAACTTTTCCTTCACGAACAAATGAAATTTTGTTTTAATGCGCTGGCCGCCTCGCTCTCATAAGGGGGCCTAAAAGAATTCGGAGATAAGTTCTTTAAAACTAAAACATTTCGTTTCGTTATTGCAGGTTCAAAGAAACGCCAAAGACGTCACCCAAAATATCTTAATCCTGGAAAACCAAATCTTGTGGTTATTCCTAAAGGTAAAGAAAAAGGGGGAACGTTATAATTATAAAATGCGCTATCTTTTTCATCCCTTCCTCTTCCCCTTCCCTCCATCCTACCTTCTATAATTCTGGCGTTGAATTTCTTCTTCTCTCCTTCCTTTCTTCGTCTTGTTCCTTTAATTATTTATTCAAAGCTTTCTCGTTAGAGTTGTACTTAGACCTATCTTTCAAATTCATTTGTTCTTTTTAACTCCTTTCTTCTGTTCTTGCGCTTATTCGACCACATGTAACATAATTATTACATTCCCATTGTAGATGACATTCTAGGAACGGTGCTGTCCTTGTACATGCAAGGCACCTCACAATCTCTGCCAAGTTCTGAAGAAGTGTTGATATGCTCTTCTGATACAACTGCAGAAGAGGTAAGGGGTTTTTTAAAAGACACGTCTCGATTTAGAACTTCGATTTCGTGTAGTCATGGGAATCTTTGTTAAGATGTTGAAGGAGACATGCTACTCGGGGTAAAATATTTTCCAAGGAAGTGTGTGTTTCATGGAAGATTCACCGGGTTACACATATGATCTTTGCGGCCTATTTTCCTTTGTCTGTTGTTCGTAAACAAAGCTGAAAGAGCATAATTACGACGTAAAACAATCCGGGCTCCTGACCTGAATCTGGACTGATTAACGTTATCAGTATATAACATTTTTGGCCAAAATGTAGACTTCTCTCACGTTACAGATTGAGCTTCTTTGGCGACGAGCCCTTGGTAACAGTGGAGGTCAGATGTTCTGTTTGGTGAATGTTGACCTTCTTGACTACAGTGTTTCTCAGAAAGCTGCTGACTGCCTGGAATTCTTACTACAGGAACCTCAATACAATCGCAGTGATGGTATTTAAAGTTACCTTAATGTTTTCTCTATGCAGCTTGGCCCAGTGGTTAAGGAAGCTGAATTTTAAGGCGGTAGCACAAGTTCAAATCCTCGCTCTGCCTACAAAGTGTAGTTGTTATATAGCTGGAAATGTTTTTCCCAACAGCGCACGCTCGCGTTGGTTACTTCGAGGTCACATGGCATCTAACATTGAAACTGTTTCCCGCCGAAATCTCTGAGCGGGCAACATTGCAAAATCTATGACGTCAGAGGGTAACAGTGCACTGTTACCCGCGAATGTTGACAGCTTGCGAGATAGATTTAACAATTATTCTTAGAGATCGAGGTGAATAGTGACAAAATATTTACCGTGCCGCGAAGCGGCGAGGTAAATATTCCTAAAGCCACTATTCACCGAGATTGAACAGAATTATTGTTAAATCACAGAGCAAACCATTAAAAAAGTACGATTTGATTGACAGATCAAATCACACGAAAGTTTAAAATAGATCTTCACAGATTTTTCAAACATGGCAATTCACAAGTTTATCACTTCGCAAACAACAGCGTAATGGCTTAAATGGAACCATTAACAGTTTGAATTGTTTCCTTACCTGAGAAGAAAAGTAGAGTTTTGTTGTTTTCTGTGAACTCGCTACGTTTATAGTAAAAAAGGTCTGTTGTGTCGCGCATGAAGTGCTGACTAAAATGGCGGCTCGCTTGCTCGAGGTAAGACGTCGTCTTCCTGGAGCATTCTTTTTCCTATTTACTGAAAATGTAGAATTTCTGCAAACATTTGCTTTCAAATTTGTTTGTCATAAATATACTTGATTTTTGGGCCAAATTTTCTGTTAGGAAACGCTGAGTTCACAAACGGGAGTTGTAAACAATCCATCGAGCACAAAACTAAGCTACAGTAAATGGAAAAACATCATTTTGAATCCTTCGGAGTCTTTTCTTGCCTTAAAAGAAGTCAACCCTAGGATTTTATCGACTTTTAAAAGATCATTCTTAAAAAAATGGGAAAAAACAGCGAGCTCACACGTTAACCACTCGCTAGGAGGTGAATATTGTTGAATAGTCCGAGATAATGTTAATGATAATGATAATGCATTTGTATAGCGCTAAAACTTTAGAAGAATATTCAAAAGCGCTTTACATTAAGTTAAAATTAATGAATAAATAATAAATAAAACATTTAAAAATCCCTCAAAGCTATAATAATAAGAGTGATATGTTATGCTATGGTAAAATCTAAAAAAAAAATGACATTCGAAAATTCCAAACTATGTTAAAATTAAACATTAGAACTATTCCAACAAATTAAAAGCTTTCTTAAAAAGAAATGTTTTAAGATGCTTTTAAAAAATGGCGAGGCTGCTACTTGTTCTTATAGTTAATGGCAGCGAGTTCCATAAAGCAGGTGCAGCATGAGCAAAGGCCCGATCCCCAAGTGTAGAGCAGTTGACTTTTGGAAGGAACAGAAGAAATTGTGCAGACGAACGAAGAGAATAATTAGCAGCTGGTTTCAGGAATAAAAGATCTTTAATGTAGGGTGGACTTTGGTTGTGTAGTGACTTGTAAACAAAAAGGAGCAGTTTGAAGTGGACTCTAAACGTTACTGGAACCAATCAGATTGCTTAAATCACCAAGATCACTGAGTTTGTATATATTCGTATATTTGTACACAAAAAAGTTTTCCTTCATAGGCTGCGCCTCGGGAAACATTAAGATGCTCGGGAGACAAAATTAACTGTTTTCCTTGGGACCAGTCATTAAGTGTTTATTGTTTCTTGGTAGTCCTGAGATCAGCTCCTCGGCCACGCTTGTAAATATCCAACTGGGTGGTCTCCTGCCAGTTGGATTTTTTAACCGGTAATTTTTATTTTTTGTTATTTTTTAATGGGTTACTGTATAAAGTGAAAACGCCAAAGCAAGGCCCACACTGTTGCCGTAAAAACAGTATCAGTGAAAAACAGTTTTTTCTTGGCTGAAATACTCGGAAAAACTGATATAATATCGTGGAAAGAATATGTGTATATAAGACATAAATATGCATGTGATTGACCAAACTCTCCCCGAAAGGCAATGTAATTGGGAAGATGTTTGTTTACAAACAATCTTATTATCTTTTACTACGGCCACAGTAACACAAACGGCCTCTGTAACAGCCAACTGTCGTCAGGTTGGCTCATGAACATCAACAAGTTGCATCAGTGATAACTACACTAAAAAAGTGTCTAAAAATAAATCATTACAAAGAGGAAGTACGATTGTTATGACTGTTAAGTTGATTCGTAGAGGGTTATATACTGAAATTCTCTCGTGATGTATTTTTGCAGACAAAAGCCAGAAACCGCTTTCTTGTTTCTCATGGCCAAGCATTTTATTTTGTTGTTAGGGTTGTCTCTTGTGGTTATCTGCAGCTCTGAGAATGAAGACAGAGCTCATATGGCTGCAGCGCTTGATCAATACAGACTTGGAACTATTCCGCATTGTGCTGCACCAAAGGATATCAGGCAATATCTACACACGCAGTTCAAGTCGTGTCCTCAAACACAAGGAAGGTTTCAAGATAAGGTCATTTCATGGGCACCTGCAGCAATATTGGACAAACAAAAGTAAGAGGAAAATGTTATACGTAATTCTGTGTCATTAAGAGAGTACCATTTTCGTTTGGTTACACCTTTTGTTGTCACTGTTCTCATATCTGCGATCCTAAAAAAGGATTTCCTCTCTACGTTTAGTAATGTTAGGTAATCTAGTAGTTCAATATCATTGTCGATCTTACCAGTAAAATAATAATACTAAAAGTGATGATTTGGTTGTGGTGGTGGTGGTTTAATATAACAAAAGTAGGAATCCCAACTGGGTAAACCAGTTCGCTATTCACAAGTGCCTGCCCAGTGTCTGGGAGGTCATAATTCTTGGTTTCTGTAAGGAACGTAGGATTTCTCCTTGTCTCATGCTCGTGGTATAATGAACAATTGATGAATGAGGCTGAGTATCTTGTGAAGAATTATGGAGATAGAGGAGGGTGTTATCCGTCGAGGCCGATAACACCCTCCGAGATCTCCATAATTATTCATATGATACAAAAGCCGAATTCAATGATTGTTTTATTATTCATTCAAAATAATTCCTAGTTCAAAAACATCGCTAAAACATGCTTACCTCCACCGATCCATCGATGTTAAGTTCATCTTAGATAGTGCACGTTTAGGGTTGTTCAGCTCCGCAAATATTTTCCAAATAGCAGATGTCGCCCTTCGAGTTGTCTTCTTGCTGTTCTTGCTATGTTTTTAGCTATTTTTTCGGCTAGTTCTCACTCTTGGAACGATTGAAATGTCCGCAATTTTTCAAGTTCACAACCAAAACAACTCAACCTCGTCCCCAGTTCTTCTCGGTTAACGGTGCATTAACCTGCAAAAACGCTGCATTTTTGACGTCATTTCCTCGCTAAACACAAAATTCTTCCAAATTTGGTTATCAGTAACTGGTTATGGTGAATTAAACATGTGCTTTTAGCCACTCAGAATTGGGGAAATATTTTGAATGAATAATAATGACTGCTAAAGCTTTCTTTATTAGTGTGTCGTATCTATGGAAAACCAATAATCTGCCTGTTCCATTGACTTTAGCAATACTCCTCTATCACTAACAACCACGATAATATCAACGGTAACAGCACCGACCACTACCAACACCTCCTACTTAGAACTCCACAGCTAGACTACAGCTAGAAACACTCACATAACCATGAACTGAACCACGAACACTATCATCAGCCACCGATCAACATCCCCCATCGTCACCTCTTGAGCAGTGCTAATCATAATTCATCCCTCATTACTTGAATCTTACTGAAGTTTTAAGATGCATGCAACCACTGCAAATGCCAAAGTTGCAAGTCAGAATTACAAACTTTTTGGTATTAAAAAACAATTCTTGTTTCTTGTAGACACCAAACCGAAATCCAGTTTTATTATCCAGAAGATTAATAAAGAGAGTGAAAGGAGTCGCTTTTTTCTAAGATAAAATATCTATCTATTTTTTAATAGGTTGTCAGTAAGAGTTGTGTCCTCAGAAAGAGCAGGTTCTGGCAAGAGCTTGGTGGTTCGGCGACTGAGTGAAAGCTTACTTGAAATTGCAAACAACTGCGTTGTGACGAGTTACCTGAGAGATATGGGGGAAGATTTGCCCATGTGTATCAGCGTCCCAATTTATGGACCAACTGTCGATCAGTGCGCCGTTGTGGAGTCATTGTTACAGCACGTGATTGTTCCTGATCTGCCACTTTCCAGAATTTTTCATCTCGATGTCCATCCGTCGGTAATAATTGTATTACTAAACAAGAAGAATTTTTTACGGTCTCTGAATATATTTTACGTTTTAATGTGTGTCAAAGCAGGGTTCGCACAGTCTTGAAAAGTCCCTTAACTTTAGGGGAAGTCCTTGAAAAGTCTTTGAATTCCATTTTTCCTTGAAAAGTCCTTAAATGTCTGTGCAAGTCCTTGAATAGTCCTTGAATTTTCTTCAGTTTTAAATGTGGTAGCCTGGAAAGTGTTTTTTGATGCGTTTTGGTTATCCAAGACAGAATATAAATCATAGCTCAGAGAATTAAAAGGTTATTTACCCAAAGTGCTCAATGTTTTATGCAATAATTAACTATCAATTTAAGACAAGTGAACTGAAAAATGTAGGGAAGTTGGTGAAGCAAACAGTTCAAGCCTTAAAACCTTATTAGACTGGGAATGTGCATTTATGTACAATCTGTGAAATTATATTCCTAGTTGGTGGTCCTTGAAAATCTTTCGTGGCCCTTGAAAAGTCCTTGGAAAGTCCTTGAAAAATAGTTGCAATTTTTTGTTTAAACTCTGCAAAGGACACAACCTTAGAACTTTTGAAAAAAACAGCAACACGAAACACGTCAGCTCTTAAACACTGAATAAACAATGTGTCTGCAGCAGGACTCGAAAAAAGGCCCGTCCGGTAGTGCGGGACAAGTAGACTTTTTTGCTAGGGAAATTAACTTTTAAAGTTTACCTGCCCAGTGGATAAGGGTACAAGCAAGTCAACCTCTAACTAAATCATAGTCGAAACTAAGACGAGCAAGAAGTGGTCCCAGGCAAGCCAAATGTGAGAACTGCTTGCCCGAGGTACAAGGTGGAAAAAAAGTTTTTTCGATCCCTATATATACGTGTTATACGTATATATATAGTTTATATATACGTGATTATACACGTGAATTTAATAAATGTCCAGATGGGAATCGCAGCTATGTAAATTTAAAAAACGTTCCTTATATTTTTTCATAGGTAAAGAGTGGTCTTGACTCTCTTCTGTTCAATCTGCTGATCCTTGGTGTTTTGAAGAGCGGTAGTGGTCAGGTCTGGAGACGTAGATTATCTGATTTGTATGTGATTGAACTAACCACGGGACCAACACAAGGGGACAACGAAACCCTTCAGCGGCAATTGAAGACCCCTAAGGTAAGTTGCCGTCCAGAAAACGTATTCGTCATCAGTACGGTGCAAGTGCTCTTGTAAAAGACTATGAGTTTTATCCTACTGTATTTGTATCCTTTTTTGCACAGATTTTATATCACTTTCTAGGAGACAACCTAACTCAGGTGCTTTTTATTTTGTTTTGCTTTTTTTCCTTCTCTCAAGTCATCTCTTTAGTTTGGTGGTGCATTAATAAGCCAAGGATTTAATGTACACAGCGGTTTTTAGTTTATACGTCGTGTTTCGGATGCTGCAAGACGATTTTGACGTTGTTTGGTCAAACCACTGCAAAATGCAGTTGGAACGCGACTCATGCATAGCAAGTTAACCTCGAAATGAGAGTCAATTACGATCTATATTAGACCACTCCAGACACTGATTCTGAAAGTGAGAATAAGCTGAAATAAAAAATAAAAAGTTTATTTTTGGAAGGTGTTGACACCATGAATTATCTGCTCCGTAGCGTGTGGACTCTAGAAAAGGCAAAGCAGAACCTTTTTACAGGCTGCTTCCCACCATTGAATGTGGAACACCAATGCGCACTTTAAAGAAGTTAAGGACACAAGAAATGGGTAAGCGAAAACATTCATTCAATACTCTTTATACTTTGCTTTTTGCTCACGAAGTCTTCTAGCTGATGAGTGACTTTGTTTTAGAGCACAATCCAACTTTCGAACATGTTTTTAGCAGACCTGTACGCACAGACTCAAACTCGAGAAAAAGTTGGTTGGACTGAGAATTTGCTGCTGGCGTTTTCCATCGTGAATTGAGAGCAGGAGTTCATTTTTTTTTTCGTTTGACCACTGTTCTATAACTGCGCGATTTGTCAATATCTTTTAAGTTTGCCAGCTGTTAGTAAGCGACAGTATTATTTAATTTTTTGCGCTGAATATTGCCATTTAAACATGCCCTTCGAGTGTTAACATTAAAGTAACGTAATTTTGAAAGTGTAAATTGCATTAATACTAAATGGCTTGTAAGGATTTTGTTTCTAATATGTTGATTTTTTTCTCACGAAAGGAGGCTTTAGTGCTTGTGTAGGTAATGTGCATAGCTATTGAAATGTTTTTTGTTCTTTGTAATTTTAGATGACAGTCGCAACCCTCTATTCGACAATGCTGAATTTCAAAGCTCATATGTTCAACGGGCGTTTCAGTATCTTAAATTTTGGGAGTCAGCAAGAGAGAACCTGAATCAGTTCTGGTTTATACCAAGTCAGGTGATCGGTGACCATGCAGAGTGTATAGAAACGCTTGTAAGGTACATTGTATTTCAGAGACTTCCATTGAGTTGTTAGGATTGGTAGAGCAATGAAGGTGGTTAAATTGTCTTTTATTGTCACCGCTTGGTACTTTTCCATTTTTAAAAAACCACATAGATTGCTTTTTATGGTAGAGATTTAACAACAGCCTTTTTATATGTGGAATTCATGAGATTAATTATGCTTGGTAAGCAGCTAATGGCAGGACAACTTTCCGTTTATGCTTGTCTTGAAACGATGCCTGGTTGTACATTACGATTTAATTGTGTCAGTGGCTTATCAATTTAGCCGGCAGAATTTTAGTCTATTGTCAACCTTTCTCTTCTTCAATTACGTAATGCCGTTTCTCCTATTCTTCTTTTTTGTACGGGACACAACTGCCAGTAAAAGGGGAAGTCAGTCGTTGTTTCGGATTTTCTTTTAGAAATTGCGGCGTTGAGGACCCTTCATGGGCTGAACTCCGTCACTTTGTGAACTTCCTCAACTCTCAGCTCCAAGCTTGCGAGGAAAGTACGTTTTGTAACATGAAACATGTGGGAGACACCCTTGAGGGATTTAGAAGCTTTGTGGTCCAGTTTATGATCCTTATGTCACGGGTAAGAAGAATGTAAAAGGTGGCGATGACGCAGCAATGTTACTGGCACAGTAGAGAAGAGACGTGTGACGTCACAAAAATTAAAGTTGTAAAAATTATGAGATAGGATGGCATATTCAGACAGAGCAAGATGAAAAATGTCCGCTTGCTACAAATCAGTCTGTTAGTGCAAATTGGTGGGGAGATGTAAACACCGTTATGTTCTGATGACTCCAGACAAATCCTTGTACAATTAGCTTGGATCGTAACGTTAGCGATCCAGGCCTAGTTTAGAAGGATTAATATGGAGTCATCACAACATACAGTGCTTAAATCTCTCCACAAATCTGCGTTAGCAGGCTGATTTTTAGCAAGTGGACATTTTTCATCTTGTTCTTTCTGGATATGCCAACCCATCCCATCATTTCGAAAACCTTAATCTTTGTGACGTTATCACTTCTCTTCTCTATTCTGAGTCGTTAACTGCCACCCTTGTAGGTAGTGTGCGTATTCCTGAGGGAAATGCGCTCCATCTATGACATACGTTGTGGGCAATGACTTATTATTTGAATTGCATTTCAACTTGATCTTGTCCTTGATTTGAATGTTTTCGATACAGTTTTTGCATCTTTTTAACATCTGAGTCTGACCCGTTGTTCATTTCTGATTATTTTGAACCAAGAATGTTGTTTTCTTGAAACTTATAAAATCCAACCTTGCGGTTTTTCTAAATTGATGATTTTGCCCAAAATGAAACGTTAGAATAGCGGTCGAATAACTGTCTCATTTATTTACAGTCGAACCTCTCGGTACGGACACCTCTCTATTTCGGACAGTTTCCAATGTCCCGACAAAATTCTCATATATTTTCTTTAGAAAAACCTCTATAATACGGACTCTCTCTAATACGGACAACGGACACTAGATCTTGGCCCCAGGGAGTAAATTTATATAAACTTAACCTCTTTATTACGGACACTGCGGTGATCAGGTGAATTCCGAATCCCGATCAGGTGAATCTGCACAGGGTGAATCCCATCCAGTCTGGCTGATGAGCTATGCAAGGTGATAAAAAGCCCAGTCGCTGTGTTCAAACCAACGATTTGCGAATGGTGTACAGAGGAACATAACCGACTTTTTGAAGGTTTCAATCACTACAGATAGCATAAAGATTTTTCTATTACATTTTGTACTCTAGTTACTGTTTACTGCACTTGAAAAGTAGCGAAAGATGCTTTCAGAACTGTGTTTTACGTTGCAACTTTTTACATGCAGCATTGCGCTGTAGCTCGTTTCGTTTTAAAACAGTAATTTGTCTGTAGCTGAGATGTGCAATGTTTTATGCTACTGAAAGACAGTGTCTTTGTACTGTGAATTAATAACTTTAAATGCAGTTTAAAGACGAGTGTGAGCCTGGTTCTAGCTAGTGAACACTTAAAACTGTAAGTGGAGTGATAAAAGTGAGGTCATCATAGCGACCTCTTTTATACGGACACCTCTCTAATACGAACAATTCGCTCTGTCCCTTTGGTGTCCGTATTAGAGAGGTTGGACTGTATTTTTTTATCCCTTGTGGCCTAGCCCTCGCAGCAATAGTTAATAAGTACAGTCGAACCCCGCTTTACGGACACCCCGTTGATACCCCTTCAGTGTCCGTATCAACGGGGTTTGACTGTAATTGCTGCTTTCTTGATGATCGCTGATCTCTTCGATTAAAAGAACTAACTCTTCAACCACCGTAGCGTTCGCAGCGATCGTTGTGAAGATATCAAGCCCAGCCCTCGCAAATTAGTGTCTCTATTTCCTTTCCTATGGTATTGATACCCTTATTAATGTTTGGAGCGGTAATATTCGCGTTCCTTAAAGTGGCTGCTCTTTTTTAAAGGATTTTGCTACGCCATCCCTGAACTGTTGTGATAGACCTGTCGAAGCCCGTGTTGAACGCGATGAAGGTGGTGCCGATGATGACAAAGAAGATACAGCTGTCGTTCAGTTGTCTTTGAGAAGACACTGGGAAACCAGGTATGATGTCGCGCCATGTGGTATCTCGCCACGTTGAGTTTCGTGTTTCACAGCTAAATTTTGAGTTATGTGTAGTTCGCAAAATGGCAAGAGCTCGTCATTTGTACACTAAAGCTAACGCCCTTTGTAAACCGTGAAGTTTGTATCTAAGTCAAATTCATGGAAAATAGGTGCACGTTTTGCAAAAATTTAAACACGTTTAAAAGAAAAATTGAATTTCTCCTTCTGTTTTTGTAAACTCCCTTCTGTGATTGTTTTTTATAAGTGTGTTCATGGATTTCATTGTTTTAATACAGTTCACACCCCTACATATTCTTTAACCAAGATGGCATTACCATGACGTTTGTTGGCTTCCATATTGACCGAGATGGCAATTTAATTGATCCAGACAGCCGCGATCTCATCCAGCGTAATTTAATGTCAAGGCACTTGCGCACTGGTCTGTTTGTCCAAAAGGTTGACATGGAAACCAATTACGAATCTTGGAAAAAGTAAGTAATACATTTCTCCTGTGATTTGATTTTGTAGATCCAGATTATTCTACTCTACCATTTTGGCGTGGTATCGTTGCAAGATGTGATAAGGTTCATACGCTGTGTTTTATTGCACACAGGGGAGACAAAATCGAGAAGCTTTGTGCAGTGATGGGTGTTGAATGGCTCTATGATCCGGATAATGCCTACGAGCTCACCACAGACAACTTTAAGAAAATTCTGGCCATCCATATGCGTTTCAGGTAGGGTGAAAAGTTTAGAATTAGCGATGATTTTTGTCAGTACCTTCAGACCAGTGAAACACGATTTGAATGTAGGAGCACAAAAATCATCACTTGTCCCTCACCCCTTCCTCGTTATTCCTCCGAGGTCGTCAAGTCACCACAATCAGATAGTCAATTTAATTTTTCTCCTCCTTCTCTACATGTAAAATTTCATTGAATCCCTTCCGTCTCCACCAAACCACCACAATTCCTCCTTCATCACCAGACCGTCACAGTGTAAGTGTCGTCCTTACTTTTCCGCTATCAGTACCACAGTTTAGGTCTCGTCCTTTCTTTTCCACAATCACCAACGCCATTTCATTGTCGTCCTTCCTCGTTCCTGACATCCCCACAATTTTTTTGTCGTCCATACTCTTCCACTACACCGCCGCAATTTGATCCTTGTCTTTCCTCGACCACTACATCGCCGCGACAACTTCCCTTCCCTTCACCAGTTTTATAGTCGTTCTTAGTCCTCCACACCAGCGTCACAATTTTATCGTCTTTCTCCTTCTTTAACAGAGCTAAGTTATATTTTCCTTTAATAGGAAAATAAAAAAAATTTCGGCGAAAGTTGTATTTAGGCCAATCCTAATTTGCTAAACGATCCTCCTTCTTAATGTTTATCTATGATCTCTCTAAGGCCGCCTTAACCCACTGAATACGGCCATAGAAATTTCATTGATTTGTAGAAGTTACGTTTAAGAGCAGGTAGACAAGTGCTTTATTTCTCACATTGTCTTCAACTCATTCAACAGCTATTAAAAATGCTTAGTCCTGCTTGGGTGCTGTTGATGCAGTCTCAGGTTTGGCCAGAGTCTTAGTCTATTTTGTTTGTCTTTGCACTTATTCAATTGAAGGTGTGGTATTCCTGTGGTCGTAATAGGCGAGACAGGCTGCGGGAAAACCTGCCTTATTCGGTACATGTGTGGTTTACAGTCAGGACCCGGAGGACCCAAGAACATGCTGCTTATGAAGGTAGAAATCTGCTCACTGTTATTTGTATGTTGGGGGGGGGGGGTCAGGGAGATTCTTTAACTTTTTTTTTCTTCTGTACCGTTCCTTTTTCGTTTGTCCAGGGAACGCTAACGTATTTTCGGTCGTCTCTTCTGTCCGCCCAAACAGTGACATCTGGGAGCCTGAGCCGCCAAAGGATTTCTGTGATGTAATACCTTTTGTTTTGTTGTTTACCACTGAGATAAAACAATAGAGTTACAGTTTGAGTGACTCCTGCACGTGCTCGCGCGTTGGCGTGTCTAGGAATTTGGCGAGAGTTTTAATACGCTTTCGGCCGTGAATTTTGAGACCACGACCCAAACGTTCTGATATCAACATTTACGAATGTGAATCAGTGGTGCTTTCTTTGTAGAGAAACGTTTTCTAAAGCTATGGAGAAAAATTGTGACTTTGGTGCTCAATAATCGTTACAACCAAAAGAGAAATAAAATGTTGTCGTGTGCGTACTCGCATCTATCTTCCCATAATCAATAGTACAAAACAAAACTTCTTTTTTCGTTTCAAACAAAAAAAGGAACAAACAGCAATTAACATTGGTACGCGGTAAACCAATGACTTTTCGTCATCAAAATACCGTAAAATTCCGAAAATATGCCCCTCCATGTATTAGCCCCTCCAAAAATAAGCCCCCCAATGCGGTAACGCAAAAAACCCTCCGTTAAATCGCCCCTCCAAATATAAGCGCCCCGGGGGCTTCTACTTGGAAAATTGCCCTCAAATACATAGTAAAACAAAGCAAAACCTGTAAATTTACTTCCAACTATACGGCTAGCCCAATCGATTTTGAAACGCAAATTTCCCTCCGTAGATAAGCCCCTCCAAAAATTAGCCCCTCAGAAAGGGCTTTTGAAAAATATAAGCCCGGGGGCTTATTTCGGAATTTTACGGTATTCCCACGTGATGAAAACAACACGACCTTATCAATCTTGATTTTCTAAACGCCATAGGCAAGTAGACGAAAATATCCCTCTTCTCTTCTTCAATATATTTTATGGAATCATCCTTGTGTTTATTTCATCTATAAGCTTTCGTTAACGCTCCATGATCTTCCATTGTTGTTACGACTTGAAGGCATTGTAGACACATGTGGATTAACGCGCACGAATGCGTTTGAGCTAACCTTTGATTGGCTTTAATTTCTACGTTTTGCGGCTTGGACTCGAAGACGTTACGTTTTCGGCGTATAGAAGCGACAACCAAAAACACCTCAACGTTTCCAGGCTTTTTTCGACTTTTTTTTACTAAAGTGAGGGAATTGTTTGACCCAACTCAATGATACTCACCGAGCTGATCAACGTTGCTCGTACTATAACATGGACTAATTGAACGGTGAATAAGAACAAAACTTGCACGCGACAAAGACAGGCTGCATATATATTAAGTTTTTGGCCAAAAAGTTGTCTGATTACTGAAAAATCTCTGATCATTATGCTATTCTCTTTTATGTAAGAACGTAAGACCGTAGTTCTGAAAGCCAAATGCGAAATAGACCCGATTCGTAAACAAACAGGGCTTGTTTCTATTTCGGCTTTTTCCTAACTTACTTCGTGCAGAAATTCCGCCACTTCGTGATTAGTTGTTATACCGGATTAGTGAGGAACATACAAAATATACGACTGACGCCTTTTTATTGTCCCTTTCCCTTGTGATGTTCAGTATCTCGCTCTTGGCATTTTGGGAATGAAAAAAGTGAAAATTAATGAAGAGTCAGCAATTGTAGCTTGAATTATGTGTTGACAGGTTCATGGAGGTACATCCTACAAAGATATTGAGAAGAAAGTAGAACAGGCTGAGGCTATGGCCAGAGTGAACGAAGGCCTTAACATGGATACAGTGCTGTTCTTTGATGAAGCCAACACAACAGATGCTCTAGGGATGATAAAAGAGGTCATGGTGGATCGCAGAATCAATGGCAGAAAAATCGGAGTTGGGCTAAAAAGATTGCAGTTCATTGCAGCATGTAATCCTTACAGAAAGTAAGTGTACAACTGTTTAGCCTGTCGATGCTCTTACTTTTAGTAAATATACTAGTAATAACCAAAGGTTACGGAGTGCGGGCGACAACGATCTAAGGTCAAAACGCCTTTGCTCCATCGCTGTGCTTTGCGTAAGTTTCACGTGACAGATAGTCAAGACACGCGTGATTAGATTACGAGTGATAGAAGCTCCAAACACGCGTGATCAAATTATGTTCTGTGCATTCTATTCAGTCGTAGTGGAAGTCCAAACCACTGCTGACTACATACGTGCGACGCATGCGTAATACCAACCTGGAGATTAGGATTGCCGGCTCCTCTTGTCGCCCGCAACAAATTAATCCTTTTGTTTTTTATCATGTAGACATACAGATGAAATGATCCATAAACTAGAATCATCTGGCTTGGGTTACCATGTTGCAACTCAAGAAACACAAGATCGGCTTGGTAAGACATAACAGACATAAATTAAACATTCCAATCGCGGCATGCCTTGAAAGATATAGTAAATCCTGCATTATTATGGCGTTTTTACTACTCAAAACATTTTGAGCACATTTTTGTCATACAGAAACAAACCTTTTTCACGTTTAGGGGGTCATACTCAATTGTAAGGTATTCACGTCCTAATTGAAATCACCAAATGTCCTGTGTCAAATGCAATCATGTGAAGAAAAATTGATAGTAAATAATTTTTTGTTAAAACATATGCTAATAGAAGAAACTTGCTACGTTAAACTAACGTCAGCCAGAAAGTTTTTGTGTTCAACCGAAACCGAATTAGATTTCACCCGCAGACTGAAATGTCTAGGTTGGTTTGGTTTGCTTTGTCATATTTAGTTTCAGAAAATAATAGTTTATTTGCTTTATGTTTATTCTAGGACGCATTCCTCTCCGTCACCTGGTCTACAGAGTCCATTCTCTGCCAGAGAGCATGCGTCCATTAGTCTGGGACTTCGGGCAATTGAAACCTGAAATCGAGGAGCTCTATACGCGTCAAATTGTCAGCAGATTTGTAAGGGGAATTTATGTCGGGTGACATAGCGTTTCAGTGTTTTTACCAAATAAAGGAATGTACATAAAACCCTGCCTTTTCGATGTAGTTTCTCCTAATATTACTTAGATGTTCTTTGCCGATGTTCTAGTTGGTTTTTTTTAAGTATAGAAAATTTCTTCGCCTTGGAAAAATCGTAGTTATCATTTGTCGCTATCGACATTAACATGGCAGAAGTAATATACTGTGCAATTAATGTCATACTTGTGGCTTTGAAAAATAACCTTGATGTTTTGAAAATGTTCGCGACAGTTATTCATTTTTGTCTTTCATTTACTGCTGTTCTTTTTTCGTTCAAGGTTCTTCAAGAAAATCAGATTCCAGGGGATGAGTTACTGGTTAAAGCTCTGACAAAAGTGCTAACAGCTTCTCAGCGTTACATGAGAGAACAAACGGTAAAAGAATCGCTGTTTGTTTTGTTTGTTGTGTTTGTTGATGTTGGTTTCCACAAATGTACTGTTCAATTCTTTATAAGTTTAACAAAATATGCATGCGTTCTGATTGTAACGGTTCTGCTTGTTAACACACATTTATGCCTGCAGTTATATAGCCTGAACTTGTATTTAAGGCAGATTTCTTTGAAACTTCTGTTAAATCTTGGTATCTCGAGCCGCTGTTAGCTCGCATCTCTCAACAGTTCTTGTTTGAGTTCGATTGCCATTGATTTGTTTTTCGTGGTTTCTAATCAATTACCTGTTGTCTTACTCCAACAGCTCCTATTTTTCGTTCTATATTTCATTTTTTTACCTATTCTACTACTTTTTACCCTTTCCACCCGCCCAAGTGAGTATTTTCTAGGACACAAACCTGAAAAATGTTCGCTTAACTCAATTTTGTAGGATGAATGTAGCTTTGTCAGCCTTCGAGATGTGGAACGTGCAATGAGAGTGATGGTCTGGTTCTACAATCATCGCGATGTTCTTAATCCTCTAATGGATGAAAACATTGACGAGGAAGATGAACGGAATGATTTGGAGAAGGTAAAGTGGATTTGTCAAATAGACGTAGTAGACATACTAAAAAGACAAATTCTGAGTATGTTCTTGAGAGACGTAATAGAATAAAAAAGACAACTTTCCGCTCATTTAAGAATATATCTTTCTTTACTGAAAACATTCTTCGATGTGCAGAAAGAAGTGCTTTTCATGTTTTCAACTATCCCCCGTCAATTTTCTCTTGCAGCCCATTGATGACGTGTCACGTGCCCTGGTACTTTCACTTGGAGTTTGTTACCATGCAAGACTTCAAGAAAGAAAGCCTTATCGACGGGCTGTGGCGCCCACCTTTTCTCCTCCTTGCCAAATACCAGGTGGACATAAGCGCATTTTGCAGGAAATAACAAGGTAGATCGTACAAGTTCGTTTAAATACTCTCCGACTATTCAATGTATTATTTAGTCGTATTGTACCGAATATGTCTTATCAGGTACCACATCAGGCGTTGCACTGAGCTGTCTGCAACCGGTGGTTGGCCTTGTAACCTTAATGTTTGTTTTTAAGGTTGTTACGCTCAACGGGAATACGTTGACAACAAGCTGCGGTGTCTCCTGCAGTTTCCATTAGGTTAAGTCTTGACTTTTTGTCAGTGGCATTTTGAGGCATTCTGGAATATGTATAAATAGAGAAATCGTGTAAAAAAGGTAGAAACTAGTTAAGTAAAGTAGTATACAAGGAATGAAATCATCCCCTTTTTTGGGCAGAAATCTCTTCAGTGGGGGAAAGAATACATGAGGGGCGCAGCCAGGGTAGTTTTCACAAATTTCCAAATCCGCTATTCCCCCAACCCTTTAAAGTGCCAAATCCTTTTCTGGTTCCTTGATTAAAGGTGACACTACGTTGTAGACCTGAGCGTTCTTTACTGTATATGAAATGACGTAAGTTGTAAAATTCTTGCGCCTTTTTGTTGGTCTTCGACTGAAGAACCTACAACTACTACTACTTTCTACCTGACGGACTGTATTTAGCGTTTGCTTGATTTTGCCTCAGTTAGTCCACCGCGAAGGCAGGGCAAAGTGAAAACAACCCTTTCAAGCTTCATACCATCTCAGCTTGCAATCTGCCCGTTGTTTGAGATAAAAAAAATATAATATTTCAAAGAAATAAGCAGAGTTAAATAAGTTGAGACAAACTGTGCTTGTTTTTTTTTAACAAACACCTTTTATAACCTCTCTTGCTTTTATATATTAATTTTTTTTTCTTTATTTCCGTATTTTCTTGATTAAATGCATCCGGCGTTTATATAAAATCAGCAGTTTTGACCCGGCGTTTTTTCGAGGCCGACGATTAATCGGGGTCCGGCGTTGATTAATCAAATGCAATTTTCTGTCATTTTTTCAAGTTGATTTATTATTACCTGTCCTCGGAGACTCAGGGGTAATTTGTTAGGGCGGGCGCGACGATTTTTCCCTTCGTCTTGCCCCTGGCTCTCCGAGGATGATTACTGTACGTACATTAGCCAAAGTTGCAGTATTATAGTACCGTACATTTTGTTGTGCAGCATCCATCCTAAAGTTATGCCGGTATTTTTCCTTTGAGCGTTCATTGAACTACCAATTGAAAACCACATACTGTTCTTGGTAAGTCCTAACAGTGCTGTTCAAGAAAATATATTTTCTTGCAACTGGACCTTGTTACCTCCACAGCAAATGAACGCCGAGACCTCGAACAAACGCCCGGGCTAATTCTTTATTCATTGATTCTTGGCGCGCCAAATCGTGTTGTTTAAGGCAAACTGGCTCTTTCTACTACAAACAAAAACAATTTTTTTTTTACTTTCCCTTTTTCCCGTCTCCACATTTCTATTGTTTACTCTCCACCGCCACCATCACCACATTTCTCATTTAATTTATTTAATGTATTCCACTGCAAGTTAATGAGATCCTACCACATATTATTCACGAAATAACGAAAAAAGGCTTTGACGTCATCGACGTTTATGTATTCCGGCCCTAGTTAATAAGACTCCTGCCCCCAAAACGGATAATTTCAGGCTCACTTTACTACTCAGAAACTTAGTCAGCTGGCAGGGTTACAAAATGAATAAGATTGATGATTGCTTCTGCGAGCATTTTAATAGATTTATCGCTAGATGTTTAATATTGGTTCTTTTTTTTCTACTTCCGTCTACACCAGATGCCAAAAAGCAGTGTTAAACGAAGCAGTGTTAAACGAAGAAGTGTTAAACGAAGCAATGTTGAACAAGCTAGGCCCGGAACGTAATATCGCACGAAACACAGCACTGAGTGAGAATGTGTTCCTGATGGTGGTGTGCATTGAACTCAGGATTCCGTTGTTTGTGGTTGGTAAACCAGGCAGCTCTAAATCTTTAGCCAAGACTGTTGTGGCTGCTAACATGGAAGGAGATGCTTCAAAGTCTGATCTCTTCAAGACCTTTAAACAGGTGACGCTAATGTTTTGGCAAGATGATCACGAACTATTGATGGTATATATTAATAGTCGATTAATTAGAATTTCAAAGAGCGCTAAGTATCTCTTATAAGAACGACAGAAATGAGGAGAGGAAAGATCACAGCAGGACTGTTTAGCTTAATGTCTTCTTCGTTTGTGTTGATCCTAGTATTGTATCTTTAAAGACTCGACATTGCCCAAAGAGAATTGCTTTTGTCCGTCATGTTCTGTGGTTCGCTATTCATTTATGCTAAATTCATGTTCCACAAGGTTCAAATGGTGTCTTATCAGTGCAGCCCTCTCTCAACTGCGGAAGGGATTGTTGCGACTTTCCGTCAATGCAACAACCTGCAGAAAGACCAAAACCCAGACAAGTTCGTCTCAGTTGTGGTCTTAGATGAAGTTGGCCTGGCTGAAGACTCGCCTCTAATGCCTCTTAAAACGCTTCATCCTCTTCTGGAGGACGGTGTTAGCTCCACTGATGACATCATAGAGGTGGAAGAACAGTTTCCTGAAAGAGTGGCCTTTGTTGGAATATCCAACTGGGCCCTTGATCCTGCAAAAATGAATCGCGGTATCATGCTTTCTCGTGGGCTTCCAGACACAAAGGAGCTGGTGGAAAGTGCAATGTAAGTTCTCGTTTAGTTTGAGACTTAAAGTTGTATTCGTAAGTAAAGGAAGGCGCACGAAACTGCTCGCTTGAGTTTAACGAAAAAAACGTCCCTGACTGCTCCTAACCCTGCTAAAAATTGGAGCTGTAGGTTATAGGGACCAATAAAGATAGAGACAGGGGAGATGCAGACCAGAGTTAATACTTTTTACCAGATAGACATTATAAGACCGTTTCCTTGTTACTGTTCTTGTCATACTAGATGTCTCACTTTATAAACATTTGCTATTAGCAAAATGGTGACTGTGTTCAAAGCAGACCAGTTTGTTTCAACGTTCATCGTTAAATGAGAAAGACATTTTTGTAGCTGAAATATAAATTTTAAGGTTCAATTGACAAATTTATGGCTTATCAATCATGAGTGGAGGAAAGTGCTTACATGTTAACTTCATGTAGATGTAATCATGGGCCAATTTAATTAGCGTGATCCATCTTCTATCTGTTGCTTAGGGGCATTTGTGCAACTGATGAAAGAGTGCAGAACTTTGTTGCTCCACTTATGAATCCACTGGCGAAAGGTTACAGTAAGTTGTACAATAGTCAGAGACGGTCGGAAGCTCTTCGGGAGTCCAAAAAGGAGGAGTTCTTTGGGCTTCGTGATTTCTACAGGTAGGGATATACACAGTGCAGTATAATGTTTTCAGCTTATTTATTTTAAGCTCTTCTTCCTCAAGGTTCTTTTAAGAAGAGTAGAATGTCAGAAATGGCCTATTTCATTCATGAAGTGGTTATGTGTTGCAATTTAAATTTATTTCAGTCGGACAATTTTAAAACTTGTTGGACATTTTATCCCGGATCATCGTTATAACGTAGATAACGTAAGGAAATCGATATTAAACTGGTTTAAAAATGTTCAGATAATCACGAGCTTAAGTGTGCATCGTTTACGTTAATGTTCAGATAAAACAAGAGTAGCTTGAATCCTTTTTTTTTTTCATATCTGATTTTAGCTTGGTTAAGATGGTGTACAAAATAGCCAAGGAGTATGGGCGAGAGCCGCGTTGGCCAGAAATCGAACAAGCGATCAGAAGGAATTTCGGGGGACTGGATGAGATTGACCCAGTGAAAATCTTTAGCAAATACTTTCCTTTTAGTAGAAACGATAAGGTAGGAGTGCTGAAAAATTTGTTTGTTTTAGATTTGCCTGCGAAGCTTCCACCGTATTTCACAACTAGGTAGCTGGTCCACTCAAGTCCTTCAAGGTTAGGTTGGGCCGGAATTCTTTGCGCAAACCGACATGCAGAGTTGTCAGTTACGTCAGTTAGTAATCAACATTCCTCGTTGATTTCGTAGAATGTAGGGTTTTACAGTATGTCTTTTAATGTAAGTTATCTTTCAAGAGCACTTGTCGGACTCTTAAAACGGACAGAATGTTACTAGGGTATAAATGTACTTTTCCTTGAAAGGATATAATAGTAATACTCGGCATCGTCTCGGTACATTTCCGAAACTATGCAGGGATTTCTCCCGTGTTTTTTTGTGATTCTTTGCGTTGTTACTCTTTGTTTTGTAGAAGAAGCAAAATAAAGATGCCTTCTCTGCAGTGAACCTGATCAAAGCCAGCCTCGAACGCAAAATCTCCGGAGGGTATGAAAATTAATAGGATAGATTACCCTGCTGCGCTTATGCAGTAAATAAACAAGTTTATTCCAAATTGACATTTGTCATGTTTCATTTCATTAGAGAGAGTCGATATCTGTTGGTGCTGACAGAGAACTATGCAGCCTTGCCTATTGTTCAGCAGGAGCTACACAAAAAAGGCGAAGAACCTGTCGTAATTTTCGGCAGCAGCTTCCCCAAGGACCAAGAATACACTCAGGTACCAACAGCTGTATTAAAAAAAATAGTGTTGTTTCTAATGAAATGGATGTTCCGTGAATTACACTGTTTCATTACTAAGAACAAACTCTCTCTACAACACAGGCTTCTTGTGGGTATCAAATAAAACATAGCAATGAGTAATAGTAGAGACCTTTAGATTGTAAGACGAGTACGACAGCGAGTACGAGATTTTCTCCGTACTAAGTAGTACTCGCGCGTAAACCAGCGTCATTTTGGCGGGGAAACGTGGTAGCCGTCGTCACTCTACTACGAATTTTAGCGAGAATGTCGAAGTGGGGAAAACGAGTCATCAAACGTTGGAAGTTTTATCATTTTGCGATCGGGAGGCCGCGTAACGTCCTTCACTAAAGGTAACAGTGCTACCTTTTCTAGTGAAAAATGGTAAAATGAAGCTTTCCGGAAAGTCTATGTTTTGGGAATACGCGAAAAAACTTTAAGTCAAATCTCGAACTCGTAGTCGTTCTCGTCCTTGAATCTAAAAGTCTCTAGTAAGCGTGCGACAAGCCTGTAAGCCCTTTCCATCGTCTCCCGCGCGCTTTCTTTGTTCCCTCTCCCTAAGACACAATGAGGCATAGACTTTTTTCGTTGACCAACCCGTTACCTCTCAATGACCATCTCCCTTAACCAATTACAGTCTTTAACGGCCACCTGGGGACCGAAGTAAGTGGTAGTTGCAACAGAACCGTTAGAGGATATACTGAAAAACAGACGTTTTTAAAGGTAGCTTACTGCCGTTTTCAGAACATTATATCACCACTCTTAAGTCATTAGTTCTTTCAGCTTAAGCTATTTAAAATATCGCTGTGCTCGCTTTATTTTTATCAACAAACGTAGCGATCTTTGGAATGTTCAGTTGTAGTATCGTCTCATATGTTTCAGGTCTGCCGTGACATAAATCGCATTAAAGTTTTTATGGAAACAGGGAGAACTGTCATTCTCTTGAACTTAGAGAGCCTCTACGAAAGCCTTTATGACGCCCTAAACCAGGTATAACTGGCTGGGAACATTATATACACAAAGATCGGTATCACTACAAGTTAATCATTATAATTCCATCTTCTTGTTATTAACATTTAAACTCTTTGGGCCAGGTGTTTAAACGGAGTTTAGCCAGTGTTTAACAAATCCGCGTGCGAAGCCACTTTCAGGTTGGCAAACGCTTTTACGTCAACACCATTTATCGTGAACAGTTTCATTAAAGCATATAAAGTAAACAAGAAAAGCGTTTGTTTTCCTAGCATCACCCACTAAGGAAGAGACGTGGAGGTTCAAAGATTTCCTAACCCGCCGTTAGTTAGATTGCGTTTAAATAACCGATCCATTATGTCGATCACTCGATCATTTACTCCGGAAATAGATTCAAGCGTTTGTAGGCGTAAATCAAGCTTTATCGACTAACTTTATAATGGCGTTGATGTTTGCGATATACTTCTTTATCTGCATTTTTCCAGTACTATATGTATCTTGGAGACCAGAAATTTGTGGATCTTGGCCTCGGACGTCACCGTTTCAAATGTCGCGTCCACAATGAATTCAGGTAAAAGGTCTTTAGACAGTACTTTCAGGCTGTACATTTCCCCTGTTAATACTTAGAAATAATTCCTTTTTTATTGCCACGCCAAGTGAACATAGAATTGCCTTAATGGCGTTAAGATGTCAAAGATTCGATTCAGCCACTGCAAATGCAGCTCGTAAGTTTTCGCTGAGGGAATCCGGGTCGTTAAATTACCGTGCTTTTTAACAAAGGTGGTTGGGGATAGTGTGGTTCATGCGATGGGGTCTCGTCATTGTGCTATAAGTAGCGCTTACTAATTCATTTTCTGTCTAAACAGATTGATTGTCATTGCTGAGAAAAATGTTGTGTACAGTAAGTTCCCGATTCCTCTAATTAATCGCTTGGAGAAACATTACCTCGTGACTTCAGCAAGTCTCAGTTCTCCACAAAAACTCCTAGTGAACAAGTTGCAGGAATGGGTAACAAGATTTTCTGATGTCAACATCCCTCGTCACCAGCAATTAAGGTAAAGACAGAAAGTCTGTCAGGAATTTCTTAGTGCCAAAAGGCAGGTTTTTGCGTCCGATAAGCCCAAAGTCACAGTAGCGAAGGAAAAGAATAGGGTAGATAGAAAGAGCGAGGAGAAAGGAAGAAGGAAAAGAGAAGAAGCAATGGTTGCACTATTGTTTTTTATATTGGCCACTTTGAAGAAACTACTTGACGGAGGCAAGATATATATGTACGTACCTGTGGTAAGGGACAAATTTGGAGATGGCAAAAATAAAAATGCTCACTTCACAAACAGAAATACTCTTCCCCTTACAAATGCCCTACGGGCTCGTGCACTTGTTGGTGTTTGAAAAATTTACTTGTGCTTATTTATTCCAAATTGCACTCGAAATTCATGTGATTACCTATATTAATAATAGTTCTGTCTTGAATTAAAATATTGATAAGTTCTTTTGTAATATTTGATTCATGTCCGGCTTTTGTGATGTCATTTTTTTTCGACAGAAAATACTCCCCTGGTGACGCATTTGTCGGTTACCATGCTGACACAGCAGCTTCCGTCGTACTGCAAGTAACCAGCAACATTGAAGAAACCGAGTTCAGTAATAAACATTTTCAAGACAAGGTATAGTGAGGCGTAACTCGGATGAATTTGAGCCAGTTGGGCTCAGTCTCTAATCTAACCTTTGTTAGGATCTCATTGGTTTCTGGCACATTTGTTTAAAGCAAAGTTCCCTTCCAAACTGCTGTTGTTCAGCATAGCCATCTGTCTGTTAGCAAAGTGTTATAAAACTGTTGATGAACTCATAGAAAAGCATGCTTTTTCGTGAGAGCGGTAGAAGTACACCTTCATAACAAGGAAAGTGAGTATTCACTCACCTTATTCGCGTGATCGATTAACATTCGCTTGCGTTTCAGGTCTTCCAAGAATCGAAAGAATTGTTGTTACAATGTGCGACCCCTGACGCTGTTGCACGTCTGCCATCTACACACCTTAAACAGCAAGCAGACGATCTCTGGACAGCTTACTTTACAGTACAGCAACATTCAAGTCTTACAGCTTTTCTACGAAATGTGTTGACAATAGAAGGAGGGAATTCAGAAAAAGGAACCTTAGTTCAGGTGACGTCTGATTTGATCTCTCGCTCCGGTTATTGATTAAAAACGTACTACTACTACTACTTATAATAATAAACTTTATTTAACGAGGGTAACACGGGACAGTACTTCAACTGAATAACTAGTGGCCCTCAATCTAAAATTATAAAACAAAAATTAAGTGACAAAATACATACCGTAAACGAAAAAGAACTATAAATATATCTATGGATAAGACTAAAAAGAGTAAACAACTATATTACAATTATAAAATATCCTTAAAATGAATATCTACAAACTATAATTACAATAAGAATACAGCTAGGATGGGTCAAGCAAAAGGAAGGTTGTGAAATGCCGGATAAGCATAAAACTAAGAAATAAAATTAAGTTTCACTTAAGCTAAAATGATCAACGTCATTGTATCTCGTTAAAAAAAAGACTATAAATAGCCTTTCTAAATGAGGTTACACATGTCCCTTTCCTAAGGTCTATGGGCAGAGAGTTCCAAAGCCTGGTCGCGGACACGCTAAAAGTTCTCCCTCCCTCAGATTCGCGATTATACCTGGGGCAGACGAGGTTTAAGGCACTGTACAGCCCACTGCGTGTGTGTAAATCTGCATTGCATTTAAGAAGGTCATTCATGTAGCTGGGGCAGTTTCCTTGAAGGCGCTTAAAGAATAGCGAACACTTATTGACTTTAGCTTCGTCATAAAATGGGAGCCACCCTAATTTATTAAAGAGATTTACGCTATTTGATCTTGTGTCGGCTCCTAAAATTACTCGGGCAGCACGTTTTGCAGCTTTAGAATTCTCGTTGAGTTATCAGCTGAGCAGTTTCACCAAATAGTTGACCCATACAACATTACTTGTTTGATCATAGCATTGTAGTAAAGTATGCGCTGTTCAATAGGGATGAATCTCCTTATCCTTCCTTATCTTAATAATGAATGAATTTGTTTCAGTTACGTTATTAATTGTCATAACCACTTAACCTCTGTGTAGTACTTGAGATAACTCATTTCTCCCTGAAGGTGACAACTCATTCCAGATTACTGTCGTCAAATGATTTGCAAGACATGGCACGTGCCACATCTCTACCCTTGCCAAACGTAACATGTCTGAGTCTGCAGCAGTTCCATACGGAACAACAGTTTTGCTCATCTGTGAGGTGAACGTGATTACTTTCAAGTCTTAACAACTATAGCATTTCTAAATGTTAGGTTTGCTCATCCTTGAGGGGAAGGAAGTAACTTTACTTTATAGGTTTCCTGCAAGGTTTTGTCAGCCTTGTGTTCTTGAAGTATTTTAGTTGTACTCATGTCACATCCTGTGTTTTCTTGACTCGGCTTGTTCTATAGGTTGCTCTACATGTGAGAAGTTAGCTTGAAACTGAAATCTTATAGACAATAGTCCAATAAAAGCTGAAATTTTTAACACAGAGAAGTCTTACATTTTATCTGTTATAACATTGTGATTTGCCAGGGATTTCTTTGCAAAACTTGGTGGAAGGGAAGGACTACTTATCGTGCAATGCGATGCTGGAGATGTAAATCGCAATTTGATACCCTGTGCTCGCCACCTTCTGGTTGAACAAAGGACAACTGCCGAAGAAGATTTCAAAGAAAATGTTGGACATGATCCTTCATCTTTCGTGCATGTGGTTATGATTATTCAACTTCCTCGTCTTGTCGGAGGCTGTGAAGCATTTGCTGGTTTTCAAGGAGGAAGGTGGGTATCTGTTCACATTGACGAACTTCGACCGCCAACGGGTCACATCCCAGCCATTCAATTCATGGTGGATCGATCGGTGAGTGAGTTATTTGATGTTGCACCAACCACCACACGGGTGGAGAAAATGGACGTTGAGGCAGCAAGAGATGACATGGAAGTCGACGAACAGCGTGAAGAAGGCATTAACATTGAAATGGAAGCCTCAGAGCTAGCTTCTGGTGATGCTGTCGTGGATAGAGTGGATATCGTCAACCTTTTGAGAAGCTGTGTTCAAGCAGCTGTTGCAAGAATTGATGATGAATCTTGGCGCTCATCACGATCAACACGGCGAATTGAGCTTATGCTGAGTCTTCTTCCAGATGGCAGATCGGATGGAACTGGTAAGAGTGGCGCTATTTGATTTTTACCTTGTTAGTCCGGCAGCAAATGTCATGAAATAAAGTCCCGTGGGAATTTCGTGAAGAAAGCAGGCCACTAGTCTAAATGTGTTAAGGGGACCCTAAATAACATGAAAAGTTTTGGTGGCAACTTTGTAACTTGTTCAGACGGGATTTATATGGGGTGGAAAATGTCATGTGTATATCCCAGCATGGAAACGAGGCTCAAACATAAAATTGTCCACAGCTTTCCATTATTTCCGTAAAACTTTATCAAAATCCCCACATTTGTGCAAATCAATGTTTCTAATATGAACATACGATTTTAAGAGGTTATTGGGGTCACGTGACCAAGTTAGCACGAAAACGAGGCTCTCTCAAAAGCTGCACTGGTAACACTTAAATTTCTCCTGATAAAGACAGAGATTGACAAAAGTAATGCAGGTGAATATCATCTGTGCAATCAAATGTAATTATTTGGTAAGGGTTATCACGTGACCACGCTGGCATGAAAACGAGGCTGATACAAAAGCTGTACTGAGGGGCAAAAAACATTACAAAAGAATGATGTATAAAGTATGTTAATAGGTAACACCTGTGCATTCAAACATGTTTATAAGGTAAGAGTTTTTAGAATGGTGCACTTAATAACTTTCTACAACCACAGAACTTAGCTGTGACTTTATTTTCAACAAAAAATAAATCAGAGAATTGGATTTCCTGAGGTACACACGTGGAAGAGGGCCTGGACCGTGTTTCCACTACTTTTGGTCAGCAGTAGTTATAATTAGAATAGAGGTCAGATATCCTTACTTACAGAGAATGTAGCGAGAATGGCTATGGAGTTTCCTCGCAATACAGGCATTACATTTAAATTGTGCATTATCTGCCAGACACAAACAGACGAAGAACTTGTAGAAAAACCCGTTTCACACAAAAAAACAATTCGATGCAATTCAGGAAAGATCTCATTATGGAAATGTGAAGTTCGCCGAGGTGCGGTCCTTTTTGAAAGGCTTTCCATTTGAAGAACTAGTATCAAGGCATAGAACTTGTTATCAAGAAACAACACATTCAGGCATGATAAAAAGAGCTAAAGAAAGGTATGAAACAGAACTGTGTGGTCCGAATGAGGCAAGGTGAAAATCATGTGATTTGGCACTGGAAGCTAAACAGCCACTAACACGTTCGAAGACATCGCCATACAACCGAGATGTGTGTTTTCTCTGTGACGGTGAGGGAGGATATCGCCAGCCACTACACACTGTCAGTACATTGTCTGCAGGTACAGTGAAACCTGTATTAAGCGGATATCCTCGGGAAATGCTGTAGTGTTCGCTTATACAGGGTGTCCGCCTAAAACAGGTCGCGATAGATAACATCATATGAGATGTCAAATGCCATTCAAATGAACAGTGGAAGTGTTAAGAATACTCCCAGAGACTTTGATGATATACGTTTGCATTAATTTCTTTATCAAAGTGGACCAATAATATTATTGATCATAGTACCATAAACATAGACTGAAACTCAATTTTGAAGAAACCAGATGAGTGAAACAAGCTCTATACAAACAAAACGAAATAGAAAACAATACTGTACTATGAAACTAATCAAATAAGTTCGTCAAGTCATGTTTTTAATGTAACAATCGAATATGTTGTGGGTGGCAGTTCGAGGTAATCTTTCGCATTTTTGGTGTCTGGCATGTTTGGTGGTGGAAATTATTTAATTACAAGTGTCCGTTTAATATAGATTAGTAACAATAGAAATGACTTTTTGCAGGTGCTTTTTAGGTGTCCGCGTCCACTTACTAGAGGAGTCCGCTTAATAAAGGTTTCATTTAAAGTAAATAAGGGGAAATAAATTTTGGGACTTCGGCTACTGTCCGCTTCTGTAGTTCTCTCGATGCTGCCGTGAAGAAAGAAGGAGATGAGAAGTTACATGTCAAACTCTCGACTGCAGTTGACAGTAGAGATGCTCATGCAATTGACATCAAATATCATAAAAACTGCTGGACTAAACATGTCACAAATGTGCTTCGTTAACACTCGACCACAACAAACTCGAGCAAGCAAGTGAAGTAGCAGCCAAGATAGAGTTTGTAACCATGGCGGAGATTGCACTGAAGAGTATCAAGATAATGAATATGTCGCAACTACAGGCTGCATACGACACCATCTCGCAGGAAAATAATGTGAAAGCGAAGACATGCAGTCGTAAGGCTATAAAGAAACTTATCCAGGCCGACATAGAAGGCGTTGAGTTCCGCAAGCCCAAACGTGTAAATGACTTAGAGAGGGTAAGCATCAAAGAATCAAGAGATGTTGCCATTCAGTTCACAGTCTGAAACTGCTAATGAAGATTGTACAAGCAACATGACACAAAGATGATCTTACATGCTCTTGATGCTACCGCTAATGGCGCAACTCAACTACAGATTCACTCTCTGGACACAGATGTCTTCGTCCTTGCTCTTAGACGTTATCTGGAATTGTGTGAGAACACGCTGTTTGTCACGGGAAGAGGGCAACACCATCGTATTATTGAGCTGAAACCAACTGTTGAAACTCTTGGCCCAGAGAAGATAGCAGCACTTTCAGCATCCCACGCGCTAAGCTGAGCTGACAACACAGGAAGTTTTTCAGGAAAGGGAAAGCTTCTCTGCTGGAAGATATTTGCAGAAGCAGATTCATCAGATATCACTACCCTTGCAGAACTTGGACAAGCTGCTCATCCAAATGAAGAAATTGTCGCAGCCATTGAGAAGTTTGTCTGTCTGCCATATCAACCAAGAACAAAACTTATGACTGTTAAAGACCTACGATGGAGCCTTTTCAAGAAAAAATAAGCACAATCAGACAGGTTGCCACCAACACAGGCCGCATTGCAGCAGGCAATCCTGAGAGCCCATTACCAGTTGATGGTCTGGAACAGCGACAGAATAACAAACCCAGAGCTACCATCGTTGCAGCACTATGGATGGCGGATGGACCAAGAACAATGGGTAACTGTTATGACAAACATGCCACCAGCCCCTTAAGCGATACTTCAACTAGTACAGTGTGGATGCTCCAAAAAAAGGTGTTCCACTAACCGTTGCCAGTGCCGCAAGGCTGGTTTAAACTGCAAAAACTTTTGCAACTGCTCCGACAATGGCGAGAGCTGTGTTAATGATGTTCAGGAGGAAGACGTACTCGACTCATATGAAGAGGACAGTTCAGATAGTAAAATGTATATACATGAGTGAACCACATGAACAATCACTAACAGTTTTTATAACTGATAACCAAGCTAAGATATTTTTTGGGGAGGTTAAAGTAGATTTTGATATGCTTCTAAAACTCCTGTGAAAAGTGATTCAAAAATGGCAGGGAAAGTTTATCTGATCCATTGGTTTTGTTCTGAAGAAAAAACTAGATGACAGACTTGCTCAAATAAACGAGTGCAAATTACAAACTGGTTACCTGCCCTATATTTGTCACATTAATATCTCTAAAGCAATTCATAAAACGTAATTATTTTCTAAAACTTTTTCATTGTGGTAAAATAACAAAGGCAACATTTATTATGATGTGCTTTTGTATCAGCCTCGATTTCATGCCAGCGTGGTCACGTGATAACCCTTACCAAATAATCACATTTGATTGCACAGATGATATTCACCTGCATGACTTTTGTCAATCTCTGCCTTCATCAGGTGAAGTTTAAGGGCTACCAGTGCAACTTTTGAGCGAGCCTCGTTTTCGTGCTAACTTGGTCACGTGACCCCAATAACCTCTTAAAATGGTATGTTCATATTGGAAACATTGATTTGTACAAATGTGTTGTTTTTGATAAAGTTTTACTGAAATAATGGAAAGCTATGGACAATTTTATGCTTGAGCCTCGTTTCCATGCTGGGATATACACATGACATTTTCCACCCCATATAAATCCCGTCTGAGCAAGTTACAGAGTTGCCACCAAAACTTTTCATGTTATTTAGGGTCCCCTTAACACATTTAGACCAGTGGCTTGCTTTCTTCACGAAATTCCCACGGCATTACGTATGCTCCCGGACTATGTTATGATTGTCTCAAGTTCCACAACATTATGTAACGTCAGTGAGCTTCTGGCAAAGTATGAAACAGAGTAACATCATTGTGATTCCTTATGCGTTATTAACACCAACTAAACATGTTTAATTAAACCAGGTTTTCGCACGGGATTCAAATGAAATTCAACATGTTTTCTAATTTGCACAAAATTTGCAATCAACTCAAGTCAGTAAGCACTTTTATGGAGGAGACAATTTTAAACCGTGTTGAACTAAACAGCTTCAGTTTTAAACATATTAAACATATTTAAGCTTGGTGTGAATGTGGCTTTCACCTCGATATCGACAAGCCTTTTTTTGTGCTTTCTAGATCTATCATTTGCTACTATTTTGGCTCGACGAATCCACAAACTTCTTCAAGAAAAGGATGAGCGGGCTGGAGATAAGGCAAATGACTGGCTACGCTCTGAGGCCTTAAGCGGTACTGGAATCCAAGAAAATGGAACATTCAGGAAAGCGCTGTGGCAAAGGGTCTATTCATCAGTTATTCCAATTCTCTCTGAAGTAATTGCTTTTGTTGACCGTGACTCTAACCTAGAGCTAGTTATGGATGGAGGGAATTGGTTGTCAAGTCTGTGGCTACATTTTTTTCAATGTGACAAGATAGTCAAACTTCATTATGATGGCTTTTTGTCGCTGGAAAGTGGCATCATACGGGAACGTGTTCCGGTGGTCACCTCGGGTCGTGAAACGCAGTCGCTTGAACTACAGTTTCCTTTCTCTTGGATAATTAAGGAAAGAATTGATGCCATGTGGAGAGAGGCTTCAAGCATTGCAGGTGAGGCACTTTTTTTTGAAAGAGTTGTTTCCTTTTTCAGATTGTTTCTGAAAAAGGTCTACGATCTGATCTTGATACTAACGTGTCTGTTTGTCATTAGCGAGATCAAACACGCCAATCCAACAGTGTTTACAAGACCTCGTAAATAACTCTTCAATGGGCCGTTTTCTTGACGAGTCTTGGTTAGAAGGTTACGAAGAAGCTGCAGTTAAGCGTTATCTTCACGATTTTGTTCACACTATGCTGAAGCCATTAGTCCCTGAAGAGGAAAAGGTATCAGGCATACGATGTGGAATTTTACTTGTAGTTTGCTAACATGTAGCTGCTTTTACGGGTTAACTTAGTAAGACTTATTTGCATGATATGCCATCAGTAAATTGAAAATGAACGTCTATTGTATAGTGCTGACTAGGGCTCTTGTAGGACTGACGTTTCGACAACATGTGCGGTGGTCATCTTCAGAGTTAGAGTGAGTTGTATCTCGTCAGTTGATGGTATTAAGTGCCATTGTCTGAGAAAACCGGGCAGAGGCCACGGATCGAGGTCAACCGATTCCTTTCATCTTTCGGCTGTTTTCAACCTTCATTGAGACAGGATGAATGGCAGTATTCTTAAACTTCATCAGGTTTAGTTTCCGAGATCAGACCACCCCCCCTAAAAACCAGCCGACAGCAACTGAAAATACGTGTAATTTAGATGCTTAACTTCGGCAACGCGTAAAATTTTTTCTCGCGCTGCAAATACCTCCAACTTCAGGATACTATCATTTCGATAGACCTGCTATCATTCTAGGTCATCAACGGCCACTTCCAACCATTTATGAATGTCTCAAAGGCAAAATAATTTGCACATAGAAAAATTTTGAAATATTATTTGCTTGATGAACCACTTTTTCAAAAATCGTTTTCTCACAAAGGCGGCAGTTTATGAGGAAATGAAATACTTCTTTGTACTCACTATTACCCCTACTATACATGTAAAAAAACGGAAGTCTGGGACCTGGTAAATTACAAACGGTGTTAACGAGGGTTAAAAGTTCATTTTATCGCCAATATCGGGCGAAAGGTTATGTCACGGAAAGTTTGTCACGCATTCTAAATTGATCGAGACTTAAATAAATCTTACTGAGAAATTCGGTACATTACAAATACAAAATTCAGCTTCTTATTGAAAAAGAAAGTTTATAAAATAAGGCCATCCGTCAAATATCAGCATTCTTTCTTTGAAAACTGTTTCCGTTTTGTTTACATTTGCGCGATGGCACAACGCCAGTTTTACAGTCCACAGATTCTTCGGGAAAAAATAATAAAAAGTAAAAAACGTCTTTCGGGGAATTTTCGATGTAAACTTGGCTATTAGAATGACGGCTGAATTCAACGGACAAAAACTTTGATATATTAATTTTTATGGGGCTCTCTTTTAGAGAAACTTGAACAAGTTTTCTTTACTTTTTTGGATTTCACCTGTCAGTCATCCTAATTACAATATTTTCACACACTCTTCGGAAAACGTTCATCACTTTCTTTCAAAATGAGTTGCTCCTTTTTTTCCGAAGATTCACATTGTGGACCTGCACCGGGAAAAGAGGATATTACTATCGTTCCAGTAAAGTCGTGTGCGAATAATATATTTGACCATCTGTCCGTACTCGGTGTAAGTGGAAAAACGCAAAGTGGAAATACGCAAATTGGCGAAGCTGAAGTCCTTTTTAACCGTGGCGGTTTTATCGCGCCCAGCCAAAAACAGGTAGACGAATTGACTGTGTGCCCACGGCATAGATATCTCTTGACCTATGGATGGCCGGGTAGAAAGCGATTGACATGTTTTCATCCTGATCATCTGGGAAAGCGCACGAAGGAGAATAATGCTCGACGCGTCAACCTGGAAATGTCGAGAAGCATATATTTCTTGGAAAACCATTCAGTTCCACTTGGAGCAGGTATGAGAAAACATTAGTACATGCATTGATAGAACACCTCTTGCCGGAGAACATTATCAGTGACTTACAGTTATCATAACTGAGCTTGGGTAGCCTGTGATTCTACAGAAAGGATCTTATTTTTTTGGTATCTTGAGTAGAAACCCTAGTTTATTTCCATCACGACTGTGTAAAGAGTGAGAAAGGAGTGAATGTTCCTTATTTTTCCACCCCAGCATTTTTTGTGAGAGAAAACAAAATCAGGACACGTTATTTATTTATCTATTAATTTATTTTGCCTTGGCCTCGTTAGTTATATGTACAAAGTGCAGAAAAAGACACTACCAGATACGACAAGCAAAGGAACTTGAGACAACTGTAGTGGTAAGTTCATACTACCCTGATTAGCAATTTTACAGTACAGTTAAATTTGAAAAGCGAATGACACATTTAACTAAAACACATAAATAAAACGCATAGTGGTTACCGTGTGGCACTAAATTTTTCTCGTGGATGCTAAATTTTGCGGGGACTATGTTTGAATTAATGAAGACTTAACAGCAAGAGAGGATAAAGGAGACAGAGAAGGCATCCCCCATACACACCCTATTCCATAGGTAATTCGCCTCGAGTTATTTTTAACACCACTGATCTCAAGGGGGATTAGACAACAGCCAATCATATAGCGCGAATGTGTTCCGCGTGGATGACCCACGCTCAGAGGCACGCGTCCTTCACTCCACGAAACATCCACGCAGCCCGCGAGGTAACTTTATCCCATATTAAATTCTGCAAGCAGAATACTGCAATGCTGATCGTACTACGTGAAAATTAACTCTGCAAGACATCAACACGACACCGAAAGAACTCAAAACAGAGAGGGATTGTAGCCATAGACAGCTGTTTCGCTCTCGTTGGGGCTTGTCAGTATGGCGTAACAACCAGAAAGCTCTGGTGCAAAATATCTGCGCACTCTGATTTAAGCTCTGACCTAGAACCCTCAATACCCACAGAATCACGCCATACCACGTGTCTTCTGGGGGGCAAGAGTCCAAGTGTCAAGTTGATGTCTCGCAGAGAAAATAAATAGTTGGCCAAAACCAACCTTAAATACATGGACAAAACCATGCAAAAATAACAGCATATCGGATCTATAAAAGATCTACGGCCCCAGAATACATAAAGTACAAACATTAACCACAAAGGACTGCAAAGGACCGCAAACGAATATGCCGGAAAACGTAGGATCTATAAAGACCTGATCAGCAAAAATGAAAAGTAGACATATTAAATTCTGCAAGCAGAATACTGCAATGTTGATCGTACTACGTGAAAATTAACTCTGCAAGACATCAACACGACACCGAAAGAACTCAAAACAGAGCGGGATTGTAGCCATAGACAGCTGTTTCGCCCTCGTTGGGGCTCGTCAGTATGGCGTAACAACCAGAAAGCTCTGGTGCAAAATATATAACTTTATCCCGATTCTAAAAATAACTCGAGACGAATTACCTATGGAATAGGGTATGTATGGGGGATGCCTTCTCTGTCCCCTTTATCCTCTCTTGTTAACAGCTATTTCGAGAAAGGTTGTCGGAAAAAATGTGCACGCGACAATCCTGAAAGGTATGGGTATTATCAATACACTGATCCTGACACTGTAGCTGTCGAACCTACTTTTGTTGCTTTCCTTTAGCACTCGCAAACATACGTCCATGGCCTCTCTCGTGCCATTCTTTCAAAATTTCTTTAAAGAACAGTAAACTCAAAACCACCCACAACTATACCTTTCGGGATTGTCGCGTGCACTTTTTCCGACAACCTTTCTGGAAATACCTGTATACTCTTAGTAAGTTGGCGAAAACAATTTTGTGTTAATTACCAACGAGCAGCCTTGCGAAGGCGCACTGTGAGTACAATATATAATAATTATTTTTATTATACATTGTACTCGCGTTCTGTCGTTTCATTGGCCAGGTTACTCAGTTATATGCCAGCAGATTACTGGCTACTCTGTAGGTTGGGCGCGCAATGCATGATTTCCAACTAGATAGCGACGTGTGTTTCTGTACGATTGCATGTTTGTCGTTTCTTCAAAGCAATGTATAATGAAACAGGTAAAACAATAATTAGATTCGGTTTTTGTGATATCCGAAATAATCAAGGTTTCGGTAAGTGTTATCAACCTCGCCCTTCGGCTCGGTTGATTGATGATACTTTCCTCGACCTTGATTATTCCGGATATATCACAAAAACCGAATCGAATAATTGTTTATTATTTTCTCGTGATGTTAGGAGAGCCCTCTTGTCATTCAGGATCAAGAGCCGTCAGCGTTAATGACTTTTACTAATGAGTCCCCCGAGCGACCAAATATCAGCTCTACTTCAGCATATGAAAGTGAAGTTGACATTTCATCCATGGATTCAGTGATTGAAACGGAGGACGAGGCAGAAACAAGCTTGTGGGTTGATGAAAAAGAATTGCAACACGAGAAGAGAGAAACGCTAAACAATGCCGTTGCAAAGCTTACTGAAGGTCGTTACAGCCCTATTGCATCAACACTAAACACTTCATGGGATGATGTGTCAGTCACACAGCAAAAATGTTACCAGCGCAAAATGAAGGAGGTTATTCAAGCAGCATTATCTGTTGTTGTTCCTGGGCAAGAAGAGTACATGTGGAACTGTTTGCGAGAGGAAAGGGAAATTGCAGATGTAAGTGAGAAATTACCAGCAAAAAAAAAACGAATAGACACTGGCCTTGTACAAACGCTTATATCTGCCCATAACGACGCTCAAAACTGGCAAACTAAGCGCCAGATTCTTTCCCTTTTTGTAAATGGCTTTAGCAAAACCGAGCTTCAAGAAATGATCCCAGGCCTATCGAAATGGCGGATTGACCAAGCCCGTTGCCATGCCACTGACGGAAGCGAAGGCCAGCCCATTCATGATAAGCCTATTTTTCGCGTACGCTTAGACCCTGTGAAGACGGATCATTTCGTTGACTACATATCAAGACCTTGCTTCTTACAAGATGTTGCATACGGCACCCGAAAACTGAAACTAGACAGTGGTGGACACGCTGTAATACCTGCAGTGATAAGAACCCTAACACCGTCAAGGATTATTGCACAATATCAAGCTTACTGTAGAGAAATTGGATTTGATCCGGCAAGCGAACGCACTCTCTTCAGGATTTTAGAAGTCTGCTGCGCTTCCATGCAGAAGTCATTGCATGGCCTCGACTATATTACCACGGACGGCGTGCAAGCATTTGATTCACTTGAAGACATGGTCAGTACTCTCAAAGCTGCTAAAGCCGTAACTTCCAACTGGGAAAAAGAAGCCAAACAGCAACTCTCAGATGCAAAGAGATACCTTAAGGCCGACTTCAGGTTGGTTGCATGTGAGCAAGGATGAGAGGTGTGCAGACCATTGTACAATGTATGCACTGAGTGACCTCAATGATCCTCCATTTAAGGGCACGTGTAGTCATGTCCACGACATCCGCTGTGACGCCTGTCGTGGTATTGAAACGGTCCAGTAAACAGATTGGCGCTGAAATAGAGGGAGCATTCAACGAAGATGGTGATTTTTTAACTAAACGAAAGCTTCAGTTTGAGTACGGTAAAGCACAAGAAGCCATATGCGCATGGAAAGCGCATAGTCTACGCGCTGTTAACCAAGATCTTGCCAAACAAGATGTGTTGAGTGCGCTTGACGGTGGTAGCTGCCTTATCGTCATGGACTGGGCCATGAAAGTTTTACCTCTGTACTACAGAGAACAAATGAGGGATTTCTTTGGAAAGAGAGGTAAGAGCTGGCACGTAAGCTGTGTAATTGAGAAAGAGGAGGACAGCTATTCAGTGCAGTGTTTTTCTCATTTATTTGAAGAATGCAAACAAGACTGGTTTGCTGTCGCATCCATCGTGGAGAATCTTTTAGAGATTCTTAAGAGAGAGAAGCCATTCATTTCAGAAGTATTTCTTCGCTCAGACAATGGCGCATGCTATCACAACGCAGCCTTGTTGCTTGCTCTTCCAGCCATTGGTTCAAGAACTGGGATACGTCCGTAGAGACGATTTTTCAGAACCACAAGCAGGGAAAGACATATGCGACAGAAAAATAGCTCCGATGAAAGCCCACATTAGACGATATGTGAACGAGAAGCACGATATGGCAACTGCTGCAAAAATGAAGGAAGCTCTTGAGTCTCATGGAGGTGTCAGAGGGAGCAGAGTAGCTGTTGCCGCTGTTAACTTAGCTAATGAAACTGGTGGGACAAACAAAATCAAAGGAATTAGTAAGCTCAACAATTTTGAGTTTACAGAAGAGGGAATTCGCAGTTGGAGTGCATACCAAATTGGTCCCGGAAAACTGGTGTCGTGTGAAGGAATGAAATCACAGGGGAAGACTGAACTGAAGTTGTTACAGCCTTTTGGGGCAATTCCCCAGGCCCAAGGCATTTTCAACACGAGGCCCACTTATAAAGAGCGATCCGCCAAAAATCAGGTCTTTTTCTGCGAGACACCAGGCTGCGTGGTAACGTTTGAAAACGAAAACGAAGCACAAAATCATATGGACACTGGAGTTCATAAGCTTATTTGGAACGCGAAACACTTTACGACAGTGTGCGAAGAAAATGGGCGCAGCATGTTACCGAAATAGCTTCCCGGACGACTCTTAGCGTGCCAACTACATCAACCCGAGCGCTTGGTACAAGCAATGGAAATGAAGCTCCCACTTCGCAGGGTTGGGCACTAAAAGGTCAAAAAACTGCCACTAAGACCTCCGAGAACGTTAAAAGTTTTTTGATTGCAAAATTCAATGAGGGCCTTAGTGGCCAGAAGGCAAATCCGTCAGAAGTCGCCAAGGAGATGCAGGAAGCTAAGGACTCGAATGGTTCACCTGTATTTTTGCCAGAGGACTGGAAAACTGCACGGCAAATAAGCAGCTTTTTTTCACGACTGTCAGCATTAAAGAAAAGCAGTCATGTCGCTGCAGTAACATTACGTGATGAAGAAAATGTCGATGACGAGGATCTTAGGAGCTGGGAAGGTCGCTTAGAAGCAGAGAGTATACGGAAAGAAGTGTACAGTGCGGTGGATCTTCAACACCCAGTTTATTCTGAAGGCCACAATATTTGCTTGATAGCAAAAGAGAGAAAGCCTAAAAATCTCAAAGTTGTAGACCTAAAGAACATCTGTACAAATCTTTCTTTGACGACCACTGGAAATCAGCAAAGAAAAGTTACCTTCATAAACGCCATTGAGGAGTTAGTTAATTCTTGTTCATGTGGCAATTTGTTGTAAGACATCGACTGTATCGGGGTCGATTAACTTGAAAAAAAAACAGACGTATGAGAGAAGCCTAGATGACTCAGTCAGAGACCAGTTCAGTGGTGACGCAATTTTTTACGATTGCTATTACGGAATTTTGACATTGTATATAGTAGTTAAGAGTGTGTATTAAGGACACCTTAACAATCGTTACAAATTTATCTAAATTTATTTAAATGTATTTATTTACATACGCTCCTAATTAGCCTAATTATTCAGTAGAGCGATTTTCGTATAACCTTGAAATGAAAAGAACAAAGGAACAGAAATAAAGCGGTTTGATTGGTTTATCGAACGGATACAAACGCACGTGACTTTTGGTTGGTTAAGCGAACGCTCGGGTAAAAAAAGTTTATGCCCGAGAACTTTTAGAAATCAATGGGATACTTCGCTTTGATGTCATACTGCAACAAGATTGGCCAATCAAACAATGCTTTCTTCCCTTTTATTGGGTTTTCTTTGGCGGGAAAACGAATAGTCCATGTTTTGATCTTTTCATCCATTGGCTTGTAAAACAAATAACGAACACTTACTGAAACCATTTTCAAGGTCATACGCAAATCGCTCTACTGAATATTTAGGCTAATTAGGGGCGTATGGTTAACCAAGACCTTCTAACCCGTTTTCTATAACCTTTTGACTTAAATGAGGGTAAGGTATGGCTTGTTATTAGAAGAGGGCACGACTGTTTTCCCTTTTTTTTTTACTGACCATAGATGAAAATAAAACTGTGGATAACGAAATCACTAGGCAAAACAGCGTGGCAGAGTCTGCCCGGTAGACCCCTACGTTCACCTGCTAGCTAGGTCAATCCAACTCACATGAAAATTACAACAAGGAAGGTGTTTTTCAAACTCTGGAGCCCTGTTAAAACGCCGCGGTTTGCTAAGGCTGGTTTAATTGGTTGCGAATAAACCAATCACCATCTGTGGGATTGAGCGGTTTTGAACTTGGATATCCCTAGCTAGCTTATCCCGCCAATCGATTTTTATGTTTTAGCTCAAAACCATTAAATTCGTAACCTATGCGCCTGCTTTTCTGGGAAAAAGTTTTTTATTTATTATCCAAGTGTTCGGCAGCGAAAAAATGTGGATTTCTTTACACCAATCATTCGTTTTTCATTCTGAGTCCCCCTCTTTATCCATGGTTTCCATGTGGAAGATTGGCTTGCCTTGCTCTTCCAGGTATCTCGGCCATGGCTGCCATGTCTTAATTTGCTCATTGTTAAGAGGGTATGTTTTTGCGAAATAGTTTTTTATTCTCGGCACTTATCCTTCGTTTCAGTAGCTGATAAGAATAAGTACATGTAAAGGGCTTTTATACGACGGAACATGTACCGAGTTCATGGCGGTCTTTTTGTTCAATATCAAGAATTATGCAATTTGATACCGCCATCATTCACTTCTGCTAGAAACGGGTTCCACAATTCGCTCGCATTATGCGTTTATTGTTGTTGTTGTTGTTATTTTTTAAATTCCTTTTTGTATGAATAGAGATAAATGCTCAACGTTTTTACTTTTCTGACCCATAAACAATCGAGGAGTTAACATTTCTTTGAGTAATGTTAATTATGTGCGATCAAACAGTGCGTGACAAACTGGCCGTGACGTGACATATCGCCCGTATCGGTGATAAAGTGGACCTCAAACTATCGCTGACAGCGCCTCTAATTTACCAGGTCCCAAACTTTGGTTTTTTTACATGTATAGTTAGGGTAATAATGAGTACAAAGAAGTATTTCATTTCCTTACAAACTGCCGCCTTTTTGAGAAAACGATTTTTGAAAAAAAAGTTCATCAAGCAAATAATATTTCAAAATTTTTCTTTGTGCAAATTACTTTGCCTTTAAGACATTGATAAATGGTTGGAAGTGGCCGTTGATGACCTAGAATCGTAGCAGGTCTATCGAAATAATAGTATCCTGAAGTTGGAGGTATTTTCAGCGCGAGAAAAAATTTTACGCGTTGCCGAAGCATCTAAATTACACGTATTTTCAGTTGCTGTCGGCTGGTTTTTAGGGGGGTGGTCTGATCTCGGAAACTAAAAGCTGATGAAGTTTAAGAATACCGCCATTCATCCTGTCTCAATGAAGGTTGAAAACAGCCGAAAGATGAAAGGAATCGGTTGACCTCGATCGGTGGCCTCTGCCCGGTTTTCTCAGACAATGGCACTTAAATTCTGGTTATTGGCTTGATTAGTCAATGACGTCGCGATGTTATTGGTCACCTGTCAGTTAAGCCGTGATGTTATTGTCTATGACGGTCTATGAAGACCCTAAATGTGACTGGTGCGTTTCATTACGTTTTTTGTCACAGTCGTTTATTATAAGTCAAACTGTCGTTGTCAGTGTCGCTTGGGTCCGTCAATAAGTCTTTTGTTACTTGTTGGTAACTGCTGACTTGGACGGCATTTGTTTCAAGTTAGTAAACCAGCTTTCGTAACTTAGTCCTTGGTAGTAGATGAAACATCAAATCGACTGGGACTCGGCGACGTGCATTACGTATTGTACAGACTACTACCAATGATAAATTCATGCATTATACTACGACTTAAACTAGTCTTTCTTGGAGACACTGTAACAATATATTACTAAGAGCTCACCACAAGCCTTTTTTGCTTTTGTTTTTGTTTTAGCTTCTCTGTCAGGCTATTGTTACAGCCGCTCGTGAATTGTATATGGAGTCAAATTTTTCTGAGGAATTTAGTCTCAACATCCCTCTTATCCATGTGGTGTATGACGCTATCGAGAAACGCTTGGCAAATTTCAGCCAACTGGTTCATGCGCAGCGGGACATTGTACGCCGCCTTCTAGAAGTCATTCCGCCCAACGAAGAGGAGATGGTAAGAATTGGTATATGGTAGGTAGTCTATTAATAAATATACCCCATGACTGGACATTCGGAGGAGCGCATATGACAAAAGCAAGCAGTCTACTGGACGGTTTTCCTTTTTTTGGCACGTACCCAAAGCTATGATTTACTATTGCGAAGTTTTAAATGTCCTTGAAAATTATAATTGTACAGCAAGAGCTCGTTCTGCACTCACATACGTTTTAAGGAAATGCCATGATGCCACCTGCGGCGTAATGCTGTTCTAGGAAAAAAATGTCCGCAAATGCACGGCGAATGCATGGCGAATCTGGTAAAAAAAAAATCGCCAGCGGGTCGGTGAAGATTTCAATAGCAAAGGGTTCCCTTTGAGAGAGGCGATTTTGGCGAAAATGGCATATTTGTCGAAAATGGTGAATATGGCAAACATTTGACAAAGTCTTAGCAAAAATTCAAATAAGATGGCAAAGGAGCTCTTTGAAAGTGGTGATTTTGACGAAAACGGCGAAATGTCGCCAAAGACTTCATACAGTAATGGATGTATGTGTCGTTCTGAAAACAACGTCTCCGATTATGGCAGTATCAAGCGTTCGTATCCCACAGGTTAAAATAGCGATTTTGAAATGAATTAATTCATTCTTTATACCCTATGTAAACCAATTGTCATTTCATTTGACTTTGGCGAATGTTCGCCATATTCGTCATTTACGCCAATCTCACCATTTTCGTCAAAATCGCCACTCTCATGTCACACTTTGTCATCTTATTTGAATTTTTGCTAACACCTTGGCGAATGTTCGCCAAATTCGCTATTTTCACCAAATTCTCCATTTCTGTCCAAATCGCCACTTTCAAAGGGAATGCCTTTGCCATCGCATCTGAACTTTTGCTCAGAATTTTGGCGAATGTTCGCCATATTTGTCATTTACGCCAAATTCGTCATTTTGTCAAGGTCGCCACTCTTGAAGGGCCACTTTGCCATCTCATTTCAACTTTTCCTTAGACTTTGGCGAACGTTTGCCATATTTGTCATTTACGTCAAATTCGCCATTTTCGTCAAGATCGTCACTCTCCAAGGGCCACTTTGCCATCTCATTTCAATTTTTCCTTACACTTTGGTGAATTTTCGCCATTTTCAGTATTTTCGGCAAAATCGCTACGTTCAAAGGGGACCTCTTTGCTATCTTATTCGAGTTGTAGCTAAGGCTTTGACGAATTCTCACCATATTTGTCATTTTTGTAAAAATCACCACTTTCAAAGGGCCCCGTTGCCATCTTATTTGAATTTTTCCTGAAACTGGCGGATGTTCGCAATACTTGCCATTTTGGCCAAAATCGCCACTCTCAAAGGGGAGCCTTTGCCACGTCATAGGAACATTCGCCAAACTTTGGCGAGAGTGCGCCACTTTTTGCCTTTTCGCCAAATTTTCCTTTTTCGGTAAAAACGCCACTTTCAAACTGCCCCTTTGCCATCTCATTTAAAGTTTTGCTAAGACTTTGGTGAATGTTCAACATATTCGCCATTTTCGCCAAATATATCATTTGGCCAAAATCGCCACTCTCAGAGGGAACCCTTTGCTACCTCATGAATATTCGCCAAACGTTGGCGGAATTTTCGCCATTTTCGCCAACGCGTGCGTTTCTGGACATGTCCCATAAAAATATTAAGTAACATACACTGCCTGTGATACTTTCTGCTGTGAAGAAAGTAGCGGTTGTCGTATGGTTTGTGTGACATAATGCACGTATTTTCAGTACTCAGATACGAAATGGAATTAATGGCAAAAAATAACATTTTGCTTTTTGCCGTGAATGGACTTGTATGGTTATTTGGGACAGCCTGTAATCCTCTTTCTTTTTATTAATATATCTTCTTTAATCAATATTGTAATACTGTTTGGTACAAATAAAGTTGTGTTGTTGATGTTGTTGTTTGAAAAGTCGACTCCACTGAACACTTCCTTTCATGGTCATGCTACCTATTACGCCCTACTCCACAGCGTTTTCACAAAGCTTATGCAACATTGAATGTAATGAAGAAAGCTTTCAACTCAAGCATGACCTAATGACACTCATGACTGTCTATTTAACGCATTTTTCAGTGCTATGCTGTGGAAGGGTGTAGTAGCCTCTGGCTACTAACCTCATGATTTGCGAAGCGGGAAATCCTACTCTTCGAACAAAACGTTTACTCTCAGAAATCCTTGGTGTGACTCTTTTGCAGCGCGTGCCTCAAGGATACCCATGACTGTTTTCTTAAAGCAACTCTTTGCACTCACTCTTCAGGTCCTTGATGCAGTTGCCCTTCAGTTGTGTTTGTCACAGCTTGAACCAAGAGCAGATGAGTTTGCTGATCCTCAGACCCGCTTAGTGTGGTGCAACAGAGTCCTGGCCATCAGATCGAGTGCTGAGAACATGCTTTATAACAAATCACAGAATGGACCTAAAACAACTCGGATTCTTCTTGTTTGCAGGTCTGTCACCCACAAGCTTTTAACAGCCTACTAGTAATATCAAAATAAGGTTGTCATTTTAGTATTGATCACCACGTTTCGACCGCTTTCTGCTGGTCTTCCACACTGACAGACCGAACAAAGACCAGCATTACGCGGTTGAAACGTGACGTTCAATAACAAAATGACCGCCTTAACACAAACGATGATCGAACCGTTTCATAGACAAATTACGATGAATATATTTTTTCAAGCTATTGTCTTCTTTCTTTTGCCTTTACAACAGGGCAACTTGGCAAAGAGTGAGCGCTGTAAGACTGTTTATAGAACACACCTGCCCAGGTTCATCGGCCTGTCACCCAGCAGATGTTGGAAATGCATTTAAGTTGTGGAAGGTGAGAATCAACCTTGTTCTCCGGATTCTCTCCTACTCGTCTCCCGGGGACGAGTAGGAAAGAAGCCTGGGAACGAGGTTGGGTGAGAATAGGTCTTGTAGCATTCTCCTCTTTCCTAAACGTAAAAAAGCCATTCACTTTAATTTGAAACTAGCAGGAGTGTTCCATTAAGTTGTAAACACCGAGGGTTTAGATCTGATTCTGGTCATTGGACTACCATAACTGGTTTTCCCATACATAGTTTTCACATAGCAGCTTACATTTTTGGTGCGAGGGAGCATCTTGCTCCTGCGTGTCTGAAATAAGGAGATATATCTAGAATATCTAGAATTATTGTCTAATATAAACTCTCTCCTTACAGGCCTTGGGAGAGGATACAGACTTTGCAAAGCCACACACCATGCGAGTCATTGAGAAGTTTCTTGTTGACTGTAGCGAGGCTGTCAGTAAACGCTATACGAGGTACGAGTGTGTACAAAACTGTCACTTGCTGGCGATGCGCGAGGGAAGCATGTTTTTCGTGATATGAGATTTTACTGTTTTAAAACCTAAAATGTCGGGAAAGAAAAGTAACTTTATTATTAAAGTATTCTTATTGAAGAGAGAAGGTTATGAGAATAAGTGATCAACCAAAGGAGAATGCATTGATGTTTACACAAATCCTCTCAACTCTTCAAGTAACTGTAGGGCGAGATCGTTTTAGAGAATTTGTATGCGGATATTGAAGATAAAAAACATTCTCTATTCTTGTGCTTGGAACAACCAAGTGTAGATGCCTAATATGCTGATGGCATCATTTTAATCAAGATCATGAATTCCTTTTCCACAGTTATGGTGTCAACACCTGCCCCGTGTGCTTGGAAAGCTTAGTCGGGAAAGACCCGGTCAAAATACCTTGCAGTCACGTGATCTGCCTGCCTTGCATTTCTGAATGGACATCACAGGAACGAAGTTGTCCAATGTGTAAACGACAAATCCCTGAGGATTTTAGGATTCAATCCAGTAAAATTATAAGGTTAGATTTCTTTTCTTACCTAAAGTCGTTAGTTTCTCAGTGGGGAGTGAAAGGCAGAAAGTTGTAAACTTGGTAACCTGCGTGTAACGTCTCACCTGCAACAAAGGAAATAACAAACTCGTCTTACCTTACTGCTGAAAGTGTTACTAATTTTACAGCTTAGATCATTTTCCCGGGTTTGAAGCCCGTGGTTCTGGGTGACCTTATAAAAGCATATTGACAAGATCTTGCAGAACTAAATGAAACTGACTTAAAAAAGATCAGCAACTATGATTGAAAGTTCGAAACGCGCCAGTTGAGTTTGGTGACTGAGAGGACCAATATTTCAATAACATCTCCCCTAAATCGACAAATCTGTCCTATGGCCGTTGTTCAGTACTCAATATTTCCTTACCTTCTTAGTTGATTAAGGAGCAATTGTTCACTTTTAATTGAGGATGTCGTTCAGCTACGACTCACTTCAGTTTGAACACGTTTGTCCCTGGAAATTATTTACAGAAAGAGACTCCTTTAAAAAGAATTAAGTTCGTTTTGGAAAATTCTTCTTTTTACACCAATTCCAGGAAAGCTGTGAAAGAACACTACGACTTCCGTCGCCGATGTAACTCTTTCTTCATGGAGCTTGTTTCATTATTTTGTTTTGGTGCTGAAGATAGTGAAGGTGTAATGGACCGGGAGTTGTTCGACATGTTCATGAGCTACGTGATTGAAGCTGCTAGTTCAACAACCAGAGACTTCTCTCCTTTCCCTGAGCATGGTATTGATGCAACTCCTGTGGTGAGGTCATTCCTTCTACAGCAACTACTAAGGACAAGGTGGGTCATGAACGAATCTGTTGTTTCATTTATAGGAAACTTTCCATTGGCCAGTGGTTCATGAGTTGTGAACACTAATGCAGGATTTATTTTCGATGTTTTCACATATTGTCTACTTTGGGCTTATTCTTGTTGGTAAGGGGTTTATAAGAGGGCATATAAATGGAGGAGCTTATAACAGGAAACAGGAATAGAAAAACGAAACAAGCTTTTGCAGTGGTGATCAAAATACGTTTTGCAATGGTTTTTAATTAAGCTTCAAAACGTTTTAATAAATCGAATTCTAACAATATAAGCTAGAGTTAAAAGTTGGACTTGACTGTATTTCATTCAGCCATGATCCTATGATAAATACTTACCACTGACATCATAGTCTTGTTCGTTCTTTGCATTTCACTGCAGAAATTAGACAACTTCTGCGTAGCTTAACTATCTCTCCTTCAGTATCAACACCATCCTAAGCCCTTCCTTCTTTTAAATGTAAACAGTTCGTAAAAGTAATAACTACTTTGGTTAGTATGTTTTCGTTGATAGCAGCGGTTTATATTCAGCAGAAAACTCTTTCATATTGTATATGTATATATTTGGTTTGTATGATTTTTGGTTAGTGATAAGGAAGTCAAGGAGCATTTGTCGCTCTATTTAACGAAGGCCGGAGGACTGAAACCAGAGATGGACCATCTGCTGCAAGTCTGTCAGCTTTTTGTACACTGCAGGGAGGTAAACTTTGAATTCATTGACAACGACAACATTTTTATTGTCTGCATACACAAGCAGTTGAATAGCTTGCCCCGCATATAGCTGGAAAGCTAGTCGTGGCGGGGCAGGACAAGTACATGAATAACATATGTCTCTTCCTTAGAGAAGTTTTTAAATTAATACGTTTTTGAAAAAGTATAGTACTCACAGTTTGCTTATAATTGCCAACAGTCATTGCAATGAGGAAACTAGAACTCAAGGTGAATGTATGAAGACTATAACATGCGCTGCAAAACGCGTTCATGGTTTGAAAGAAGCCTAGCAAAAGCAAGCTTACCTTTGTGTTCGTCCTACGTTTGCGAAGAAAAACCTCTGAAAGCATGGAATAGAACCAACGGAAATTCAGTCTAGACCGGGCTAAATCGAGCATGGCACACATTGGTGGTAGGAGAGTGGTCTAGCCACTGCCCCATCCGTCTCTAATTTAACTAGGTGTTAAAGCGTTCGCTATTTTTTCGTCTCGCGACAGATCTCTTCAAGTATAAAAGGATAAGTTGATTTTCTGTTTTAGGTTGCTTCTCTTCCTTTCTATGGATATCACAAATCTCAAACGAGTTTTTAAATATGAACATAGCTTGACAATACCTTGCATCTCACATCTCCATCACGATGTTCTCTAGGATTCTCTGATCAGTCAGTATTCTAAAACCTCGGATATTCTGCTGGTGATGATAAAACTTGCACAACAACTTTGTGATGACTGTACACCGTCGTTGATTTCAAGCGCACTTCGTCCCACTCGAGAAATTGATGTTGATGTGCTGGAAGGCGTGGCAAAAGCGCGTTACACCTTAGCACTGACTGCCGAATTTATGTACAAGAGCACAGTAGAAAACACAGAGCCTTGGAGTGATCGCCTGATAAAGATGGAATTGGAGACTCTCTTTGATACTGCAAGGAGACTGTGTTACAAGAGTTTAAGCCCAGCTCCCCGACGTTTCCTCCTCAAGCAATTGGCAAGGAGGTTTGGTGTGGAGGCAATTCATGTGCTGTGTGGTAAGAAGGAGGTTGAGTGGATCGTACCACCTGAGAGCAGAAACAAGCAGGTAGAAAACATACCCTATAACATAAATCATTTTATTATTCAAAATAATTCTCGGTTTTTGTCTGGCTTAAATTCACAGATTTAGAGTTGGTGAGCTAGTTTTCGCCCGAACACAGCCAATGACCTTTAAGTTTGCTTGTAATTTGAAACAACTGTATAGCAAGCTTCTGAAGTAGAGAAATTTTACCATACTCTCTTTTTGCGACCACGTGCCAAGACAGTATTTTTCGCAGAAATTGGATAAAAAAGGATTGAGTTCCCAGTAGAGGGAGACATTTTTTACTGTATCAACCAATTTAACCGCCATGACGCCAGCTACACACTACCGACTAAAGCCAATATAATTGATAAGATATTTACAATTTTCTATCTATAGTTCGTGCTAAGGTTCTCCTAAACCTAGCTGCTAATTAAGGGTTGATTCAGTTACGACATACGCGTATAAGCTGTCGCATTTGCTCGCTGGAATTTTTTATTGTTTTTAGGCCCCCAAAACATAAAAAATTCCAGCGGGCAAATGAATCCACCCTAACAACTGCTACTTAAAACTTGTTTCCAAAGTAGGTTGAGTTTGATCGTGATGTTATTGGCTATGAAGACTCGTAATAAGCAATTGGTGCGTTTCGATCCGTCTATAATCACAGTTAAACAGTCGTCTATTGTTAGTCAAATTGTCAGTTCTCCAGTCATTCTTTTGTAGTTGGTTTTGCCTAATCTCGTCAATAAGTCGCTTTTACGGTGCTGGTAACTGTTGGCTACGATTCAGTGGCGTTTGTTCCAAGTTAGTAAACTAGCTTTCTAAAGGAAGTCGTCGATGGTAGTCTGTAGAATACGTAATACATGTCGCAGAATCCCAGTAAATGGTGTTCAGCAATGTGATTGTTGACGTCACCACTCCAATAACGTTAATACCAATAACACCATTCCTAGCCAATAACATCACGGCTCAACTGACAGACGACCAATAACATCGCGACGTAATTGACCAATCAGATCAATAACCAGAGTATAATACCATCAACTGCCGTGATACAACACACTTTGACTCTGAAGATGACTACCGCACAGGTTGTCGAAACGTCAGTCACTGTCAACAACAACAGTCCTATTCAGGACTACGTAACCCGGACAATCAAACTCAACCTACTTTTGAAATGACTCCTGTGTTCAAACGTTTCACTGTTAAAACGTTTTATTTCAATTTTCAATCATAAGCTGAATTGTTTGGGCCGTTATATGGAAAATACGAAAGTTTGCTAATCCGTGTGAGTTTACTTCACAAGACATTTGTTCTGTTGGTGGTTATTTGTTTGCTGATTTGATTGTTTGTTTTCCAGGAACAGGACAATGTTCCTGACAGGTTTGTGATTTATGGAGAAGAATACAAGAAGATCAGAGAAGCAATGGCCAAGACAGTGCTTGGTGGAACAAACAGAGAGCTGACTGACGCACTAAAAGTATGAACAAATCTGAAATATTTCAGTTAAACCAGCTTTATTTTTCCTTTTGTACTGTTTATTCTACTGTTGACTGTGCTTCAGTTGGAAGTGAGGTGAGTTAGGTGACGACATCACACAAGCTTTAGGACAAAAAAATTCGGGATCGTGTTGGTACCCAATGTAAGCAGTTATTGGTCGGTAGTCGTCTTTGGATACCCATCGACCGATCGTAATTAACGATTGTCCACCCAAAAACGTTCCCTAAAATCTTTGCGCCGAGAGCTTTTCCTCGATCTCCCCGTAGTCTATGAGTGGCGAATGAGGACGCCCCTGTGCGTGGGTTTTTGTCTGTGACTGAAAAAGCAAAAAAGCAGTTTCACACTTTTTGAGACTTACACTATGTTTCTTGTGACATAATTTCAGTCCGTTGCCGTACCAAACGTTAAAAGAGAGGTTATGCTGCTGTTGTCTTTATTCCGTGAAGTTACCACATGCTATGGCTTCACTGGCAAAGAACGTCGTCTCTCCATTAAGGTACGTGTTCCAGAAAAGAAAAAAAAATATAACGCGTCGCGATAATGGTATCGTATTTTTCGATGTTATGCCCCTGTCATATTTAAAAAATTTAATTGAAATATAAAATATTAACATATGGCTGGGGCATGATATCGACAAATACGATACCATTATCATTCCATGTTTCCTACGTTTCTCTTTTCTCCTAGTTTCCTTTTTTGGCCCCGAAAACTGTTTTTATCCCACTCATCTGATTGACTTTTAGTTTTGTAAAATCGGTACAAATTGGATTTTTGCTGGTAGCAACTGCATTGAGAATGAAGAAAACAACTTTCTGGATAAAACAAGGTTGAGTCATATTTGATTAATATTTTGAATAGCTCCGAGGTTTTAACGATGACTACTGGCGCTTTCTTGGATACAAACTAATAACTTTTAGAAAATAAAGCATTTTACTTCATGTTTCTTACATGTCTTTTTCGTCACACCAAATAAAACGAGCATTTGTATCCTCGTAAACGTTTGTTTCTTTTTTGTTCAAACAGGCCTACCAGTGTCTTCAGGAATTCATACAAAAGGGTACATATCTGTCTAAAAATGTAAGTCATGGAATGCGCTCTAGCTGTCTGTAACCTTAAACGAAAATCTAAAGTCGGAGAAATTGAACTTTCTAACATGATGTTTATGCGCAAATATTAGGGACCTTAAGCACCGAGAACTAAACGGACGACGACGACGCTTCCCAACCGAGGCAGACTGGGCCAAGGGTTTCGTTTTCGGTGGGGAAAACGAAGTTTAAGCAGTGCAGCTTCTCAGACGGACGACGACTTTTTCTTTGCGAAGAACTTTGTCTTGTTACAGTCTTGTTAGGGCATTCAAAGACCTCCGTAATTTGCATTTTATAAGGTATGAAGATGGTTTAATCGACGATGGCGAATTCATTGTTCTTAAGGACCGGATTATTTGATTGTGGAGGCTTTCTCTTCGTCGCGCAACTTTTGTTTTTGTTTTGAAATGAAGTTAAACCTGTATACCGATCTCGAACAGCTCTTGACTTGTAGTTAAGCTAAATTTCGGCTGCTGAAGAGAATTCAGTGCTGCTACAATGTTCTCCCATATTTGTCCTCTCTCGGGCTCCTCATAACCACATCGTGTTCCAGCTTAGTCCACTGGAAAATAGTTGCCTTTAATAGCGGCTAAAAACAACATGGGAAATTATTAAATCTTAGTACGAAAAAATGAACATTTATCCTATAGCACAACCTAGAATGCATGAGTAAACATAGGACCGTAAGGGAACGAACAGCAGCTAATCTAAAAGGTTCGGAAGATAGCAGAGGAAAGCTTACTTGTCTGTCCGACTTGTTGTTCCGCCATCACTCAGGTTTTCAAACAAACCGAACCTGCAAAATAAATTCAAGTTAGCAGGCGAAGAAACCGACAAAGTGTTTAACATTTGGACTCTGCTAATCCACAAAGAATATATTTCTACTTGTACTGAATGACAAGAGGGGGAAAGAGTGATTTAGACGCAAAAAGTATAGTTTTATACTTACGTTTTAGCGACGACGGCAAACCTCCCTGAATTACGTCGTCGACGAAGGCTGGACGACGTTTTGACAACCTTACGCATGCCTAGAAGGTGCGCGCGGGAAAATTTCACTTCCGGTCGGCGTCGTCGTCCCATTTCGTCGTCGATGCTTAAGGTCCCTATTATTTCCCAGGAAAAAACTTTCGGTCTCAACGATACCTTAGGTGAGCTTATGAATACGACCCCCTTCCTTGTTCAATCGCTTCAAAGACCCGGGTAATATAGCAAGATCTGTTTCTACATACAGTGGCTTTCTTTAAACTTTTCTATCCTATTAGCTGAAATTTTCTGGTCTAGTTTTTTTGCCATTCTTCCCAACTATCTTTTCTGGTTAGGCTGTGAGAGTTGTTTTGTAGTTGTTGTTTGTTTCTTTATGCTCACTTTCCAATGTATTGCTTTCTACAGATCCAACCATTTGCCGCTCAACTCCTCGACAATACACAAGGTGCTCCAGGCATTCCCGGTGTTCGAGTCAGGCCTGGTCGCTCAGCCTTAGAGCAGAATTTGTCAGAGCTTGTAATTCACACTACGACTGTGCTTCAGTCCATTAATCACGTGACCATTTGCGAGCCACTGCGACTGCTGATGGGTAATCCTGCGGCCGTAATGGTACAGTTCTGTTTTTGCTTTTCTTTTCTTTTCTTTTCTTTTTTTTTTTTTGCTCTTGAAGGACGGTTCTTACCGATAGCCAAAATGCAAAATATGAATTGTAAATAAAATCAACGAAGTATAGATGTGCTCCTCGCAGTTTTAAGATAAAGTTGAAATAAACACGTAACAAATGCAGGCTTGGCTAGGGTGCGAAACCAATGACCAGACACACTGCTTTGTCCAATGGACCATTTTCACGATGACGACATTTGACTACATTTCGTTTTTGCTTTCTTAAATTTCTGTAAATCCCGCTTAGGTTTAAAGGACAATAGCTCTAATTTGCGCAATAAAACAACAAACTGAAAGACTCTTGCAGTTGTAGTAAAATGACGTTATCGTGCAATTGTCCTATTGAGGTAATAGGGCACTTAAGAACCGAGAACGGTGAAGCCGGCGAAAACGTCACTCACGCGTTCTTGCAATCTTCATCGTCATCTTTTTGTGTCTTAGAACGCATACCTACCCACAATGCCTGATGACAATCTGCAAGAAGCAATGGCGGGAATGCGAGAGAGTGGAAACTGGTATCGTAAGTATCAAAGTGGTTATCCAAAGGTCGCTCCTTTTAAATGTATGTTAAGCAAAAGTAGGGGTGTTCTGTTTCTGTCAGTTCAAAAATTCGACGCGTTGACGACTGGTATTAGATTTGATAAAATACTAACTGCAAGTTTATTGAACGGCTTCAAAACCTGGAGTTTAAGCCCAGAATAATTGAGCGGAAGGCACAGTCTCTTGTATTTTCGTCGATGATTTATAGAGGTTTAGTCTGGAGACGCTCGTGAACAAAGGTCAGGGATGTTCGACTTCTGAATACAAATACATCGGCAGTTTACAAGTGACAGTTATAGACAATGCAATGTTTGGTGAAATAAATAAACTTGGTTTCCCGTGTTATTTTGTTGCAGAGTGTCCCAAGGGACATCCCTATTACGTTGGAGACGTAAGTGACGCTTTTTACTGCCATTTAAAAGTTACAAGTTTAGAACAAGACTTTTACCGTGGTCAGCAACTCTACATATCTGTTTTCATGGTTTATTTTTTACATAAATGTCAAATCACAAGTTTCTCTTTCTCCTAACAATGTTCTGCTAGGTTCCCTTGGTCTTAGCGGTCGCTCAAGAGACCGGATTCCATACCAGGCAACTGAGTATTTCTCATGCCCCTTAGACATGTTTATTGTTATCCTGTTTCCTTACCTTGCAGTGTGGCCGCCCTATGGAAGTGAGGGCTTGTCCTGAGTGTAAAGTGACTATCGGTGGTACCCAACACAAACCCTTTCGAGGAAATACCACAGCTGAGAGGTATGTATCGTTATCGTTATCCTTTCCGCGCCGACCTTGTATAAATGAACAGAAAATGACAGGAACTTAAAAGAGGCTAACGACATGCGTAAATCCTTAAGCAAAGTGTTAGGTTCAAGGAGTCTTCAAGGTAATCGTAGTATTCTGAAATGGCCCGGCTATCTTACTTGGTAAAAGGTTGTAATCTCACACAGCTTCATAGAGCTTACCACTATTCAGCATAAGCAAGTTCTCTTTTAGGTGGACTAAATGCTAGCTCATCTCTTGGTGATTTCCAGGATTATCAGCTCGCCACTAACTACTCGCTGCCATAGATCTCTCTTAAAGAGAGGGATCTATACAGTGGATAATGCAATTGGTATCCCAAGTGCTTATCAACTGGTTCAACAGCTGGACAAATTTATCCTTTGCAACAACTTGAGACTACAATCTTGGACAAAACTGTTGAGAAAATTGTATACTTGGGGAAAATTTTTCTAAACATCGAAGCTGTATCGGTTCGTCCCTCTCCCCCTTCCACTGAAAGCAATGTTGTTGTGATTCAAAAGAAAGCCTGATTCCTGGGCGTTTGTAGGAAGCAACATTGAACTGGAGGAAGGAGATTTCTTTCCGCAAAGGCGTCGTTTTGGAAATAGTTTTGTTGCGTAGAAAAGTGGACATGATGGGGAAAACTTACTCAAGTAGTTTTTTCTGGGATTGTAGGTTAAGAGATCGACGCGTTGGTTTGTAATTGCAATTGTACATTACGATTTTATAGTATCCATTCCCTTCGGTGCTTTTCATGGATAACTAGCAAAACTGGGGGGGGGGGGGGACTTTAGCCCCACTGTTTAATGCTCAATTTATAATTGATAAAGCAATGATTTATGAATGCCACCTGATCTGAAAGTGAAGTTGAGATAGACCACCACACCGGAGACCGCATTCTCGACTCTTTACGAACAGTGTGTGGGTTCTTTATCGTCCCAGAAAATTTTATGTGAGCTAGGGCTGTGAGACAGGGTCTACGGTTTATCGTCCTTAGCCGAGAAGACTAGGAAGTCCAACCGTTTGCAGATGTCATGACAAAGGCAGCACTCTCTCCTCAGTTATTTAAAGACCCTGTCTGTTGGCTTGGCCGAGGTTTGAACCCGCTGCCTTTCGCTCGGTAGATGTACGCTAATCCAACAAGATAACTGGTTGCCGGGTTACTGCTAAGGGTAGAATCCTGACGTTCAGAGATAAAGTGTGATGCTCATTATTCTTGTCATATAGTGGGTTAACCAGACACATCGGAAATTAGTTTGCTCAAATCGACTCATCACATTGATCATGAAAGGTCTTTTTACAAGTATATTTTTCTTGTTCTGTAGGGCTGACCGCACAATGACTGGCCATGTTCTTGGTCATTCCAGTAAAAGGGCCAAAGGTTTGGTTCCTGAACGAAACCTTTCGTCCGTAGTTGTGGGAGTCACAAGGGTTCTTATGCATTGCGCTATGATAGAAGGAGCCTCCCGCCAACCACAGGTGATTAAAAGTCGCTTTTTATGTAACACACGCTTCTATTTTAGAGAAGCAGCTAGAAGCTGTCTCATGGAATTCCCTGAAACTTTAGGGGCCAAGCAGACTATTTCCGTAGTTGCTTTCAAATCCCTTCCTGGAATAATCCGTTTAGCTCGTCACTGCTGACAAATAAATAAAGCAATTGTCGCATTTTGTTATTTAGTATCTGGATTTATATATATTTTCGAAGCGTTGTTGATTTATACTATATTGCTAGAATTACCCAGTTAAGCAAGGCCTTTAAACTGTGTATTGCCACCGAAGTTAAAATCAAATGAAATCAAATATGAATACCAGTCATGTAGAAGAGGGTAAAACATTAATATTTATGATAGCATGAATGGATAACTTGTTTCTCACTACATCTGTTTTGCGTCCCTGTTTAGGGTTTGGGTGCCCTCATCCAACCCACAGTTCCCCCCGCGGCCTTGGCGCAGTTTTTATGGGATCACCTCCAAATGGACCTAGAGCTTCTCGCCAAAAGCCTTGGACGAAGTGTAGATGATACAGTTCTTTGCGTTCACATGGTTCTTGTGCAAATGACCACGCTTATTTCTAACCGTGAGTTGAAAAGCACAGTCAAACACCGACCAAAAATGACAACCATACCATGGCTAAGGGATCAGAGGGTTTTGTGTTGTGCTTAAATTGGAGTTACCTAACGTTACTTGTGTTAATTAAGTTAAACTAGAAATTCAAAATGTTAAATGCTATAAATGACTGCGTTGCGTACAGGTATTCGCACTTACGCGGATCTATTCGGAATAAGCTTACGCATCTACCACGCATCACTTGAATAACTCTGTTAAGTCGAAACTTATTTTGCTCTCACTGTTCAAGGACCTAAAATGTCCACGTTATTTGTGTTAAAAGTGCACAGAAAGCAATGCATATAAATAATATGGGCAACTGAAACATTTAAATACTTAACTGACCAAACTTTTTAAAAATGCCTAACGAGATCCATTGAATTTCTTAACCCCCTATGAACCCGTGTTCCCTGAGTAGTTCTGGTGAAATTTTTTAAAAAGAGAAGTTCTGACACTTGATGACATGATCGTCTTTGTATCACCAGTCTTTGAAAGATGGAGGGGGCATCAGTGAATCCATAGCATTCTTGGGCTCGACGAGGGGATGACGAAAAAATCCAGCGACATTTGAAAAGAGCATGGCAAAGAGAAGAAATAACCACTTCTTATTTTAATCAACTTGAGTTATTGGAAGTTTTTTTTTTCGTTAGAAAATAAACCCTGCAGCTTCCTACAGGTCGAGTGTCTATGTGTCATGCAAGAAAGGCGTTCGCTTCACACGAAGAAATCTTTTACCCGTTTTCAGATCTCTTGCTTTTATTTTAGGACAACCAGTCGTGAATGTCGCCCCTGATTTGAGGTCCAAAGATTCTCGAAGAAAATGGGAAACAGCTTTCAGCAACAGTGTGGTGGCTCCAGTGCTTACGGTATGCGGACTTTACTTTATTATAATAATATAATTAATAATGATATCATTTTGATGCTTTTGGATTTTCTTATTTGATTCTCACTTCTTAAGAACTTCGAGGGAAAGATCCAAAATTGCTTGGAAATGATGGTTGGAGACAATCGACTGGGTAAGTTTTTACGTGTTATTTCAAAGTGTACATTATTTATTTATTTATTTGTCTATATTTTTGCTTTTAGTTAATAATTTTAGAGAACCCACTAACCACCCAATGCGACGAGGCTGAAGTACACATTAAAGTACACGAAGGAATGCTCGAAAAAAACCAAGCCCCCTAGGAGGAATCGATCTCACGACCCTCCAATCACCTTTTGACGACTCTACCCACTGAGCTATGGGTGACTCATATAGTGAGCAGGACGTACACTTGAGGTAGTCACAGGACTTCCCATCTCAAGAGGACACAGGTCACTTATCAAAGCAAAGCTAAAGACCTGCATATCGTAAGCACCTAAACTAAGAGTTGTAAACACTTAATAGATTTAGTGATTCAACCACCCAATGCGATCACTAAATCTATAACTGACACAACTCTTATTTAATTTGCTTTCGAGATACAGGTAATTTAGTGAGTGTTTTGCCTTTGATTAGTGTCCACTGTACTCGTTACATGCGAAATTCTGAGTACCTCAATTGCACCTCACGCTCACTATATGAGTCACTCATAGCTCAGTGGCTAGAGCCTCCAAACGGTAACTGGAATCTCGTGGGTCAGAAAAGTTTAACCGGGTCTTTGTGTACGTTAATATCTACTTCAGTTTTTTCAGTTAATTTACATTTTCATTAACTGTTTTATTTAAATCCGTTTTGTCCTTATAGAAAACATGATGTGCTTTCCGCGTCGTGTAGTTTTGAAAAGCAGAAAACCCCATTACGTTAAATGTATCATTCCGATTCTTTCAGGCAACAACCCCCTGATGCGCCAGCTATATGAGGTAGACATCACACCTGATGATCTGTCTGTGAGTATCTCTCCTACATGTCCCGCACTGTGGAGATATCGAACTCAGGTGACTCTCGATCACTTGTCACACACTTTTCAACAAGAGGTGGCCTCCACCGATCCCGAGAGGAACAAAGTGTTAGCAGAGTTTTTACGACAGGTGAGTGCAAGTTAGGTTGCATTTAAGGAGCTTTGTTACCAGGCTATTGCTGTCTTGGGTCAATGCTGTTTTTATTTAGAGACTTTTCCCATACACAAAATGCTCCTGAGGAGTTATGAAGAAGATACCGAATAAGTGTCATCAGGGAGCACTATTAAACCACAACAATTTTCGGTTGATTTTTGCAGGCATAGCACTGAAAATTGAGTTTCACCATCCTCGTCATCAGTTACAGAGGATAACAGGAAAAAGTTCCTCTTCCTAAATCTTAATCAGGACCATTATTTTTGGAATTCAATTGATGCTAAAACAAGTTTTAACTTTTTAAATATGTAGCAAATAGAGTGACATGGCCCCTCTACTTAATTGGTTTGTTGACACCAAACGATTTTGTCATCGAAATCAACGGCTGCAAAGGAATGTTACTATTAAAGACAAAGTGATAAGTTAATAACAGTGTGGCACCTTGCAGCAATAAAAATTGTCTGTGAACAGTCCCCCGAGGGAGCTACAATCAGGGACCAACCTAGTTGACACACTTGTTCAAAACGGGTGCTTTTAACAAACATTTAATTCATTTATTATTTCATTCTTTTTAAACGCCGTAAATCCCCTCACCCCCCGAATCAATGTTGTCTGAAGTAAAGAAAAAAGACGTGAGGGTCCAACATTCAACATTGATTTTGGGGGGAAGGGGTTGGGGTAGACAGGGGAAGGGGATAAGTATATCCACTATGCAAAAAGGGGCCATTTTATGGAAGTGTGTCAACACTTTTGTCCCTCATTGTAGCTTTTTCTTTGTCCTGTAACCCACTATAGACCTTGTTCACAGGCCGCAATAAAAACACTGCCCAACTGTCTACGCCCCTTCGAATCAATTTAAGCCCTTTTCAATAAACTATGTACTTTTGTATTCGCGGGTAATGGATATTTATTAGTGTAACACAAGACGTAGAAATTATGATCATCTCCTTTCTCCTCTTTTTTAGGAACACAATCTCCGTGCCCTTCGCTTTTTGCCAGATATCATTAAGCTACAGCGTCTTCTCATGGAAAAATTCCATCGCAGAATCGACAGAGCAGAAGCAGAGCATATCACAATTCGAAATTTCCTAAAGATGATTCCTTCTGGTAAGTTTATTGTCCGAATATGAGATTACCTAACAATAAATGCCTGGCAACTAATTATAATCACTGTGGATAGAAACAAGGAACAAAATACTTTCTTTTATGATTTAGATTTCAACGGAACTGTCTTCATTTGACTATTTTCTTTGGATTTCCTTTGTATCATATAAAAGCCATGCCTCAGGGTTCGAAGGGCTAGTTTGTATCACAAAGAAAACATCGGTGGATGATGCTTTAAAGTTTTTATTCAGATTTAATGCGTGGTAACAAACTTATTACCTGGGTATTTTGTTACTTTCTTTTAACAATAGGAATCTATTGTTTACACGTGACAAAGCATTTTATCATGATTTAAATGATACCTCATGGGTTCTCGAATTACGGCAGTATGTGAGGGCTTCATGTTATGAAACTGTTCGGATAAATTGTCCATGCAGATAACAATATCTCGTACCTTTTGTTAAGCTTCAAAAACATAACAGCATAGAATATTATGTTGATTCTCTTGTATTTGTATGAACAAAACGAGTTTGGTTTTCCTTATTCAATTTGAATTAAGAAAGTAAAAAATGAAAACTTTCTTATGGTTTCCCAGGACAGAAAAATCGTGGGTTGTATCACGTGATACCCGTGCTCCTTTCTGTTACCGTGTGACCAAAAATAGCCAGTAAAATCGGGCCAAAATTAGCCTGCGCAGCTGGCGCGATTAAAGTTTTGGCGGCGGAGCCGTGATCCAGTAAAGGGAGTGGGACGAGGCGTTTAAAATATTCCTATTTCCATTTCTATTTCTCGCGG